TCAGATTTCGCTGTGCTGCCAACAAAGATTTGGACTTTCAACATCAAAATCCGTCCAATCTGGCCTTACTTTCATGTCAATTTTACTCGGCTATTCTTGACTTATTCGATACTATCACTAGATGTAGCCGATCATTAAGAAAAATATTAAGCTTCAACAAGGTTTGCTTAAAGAAGGCGAAAACGACTAAGTTTGGTAAGAGTCACTCATGTCTTAGCATATTTTTTAATTTTAGATAAAATCCAATACTAACCTCATGGAATAGAGAAAAAATAGCAAAATGAAATTGACATAAGATTTCTCTCGAGTTTCATGGATTCTGATGCTGAAACTCAGGAACTTTTGTTACATCCAGAATTTGAGTTTGATATACCCCTAAGAAAAGCAAGGTTGATTTCGTTCCACAAATGATAATTTACCAAAATTCGTGCCATGCGTCTAGTTGTCAAATGTAGTTACTGATAAATTGCAGTGCGGTATGAGTGGGTGTGCATGTCTACTAATAGTAGCATCGAGATACATACCCATTCTAACACCCACATCTCCACCTACACCAACTCAGACCCACCAACACGCACACCCACGCTATACATCCTAAGTAGGGATGTACCGAAACGGAAAGATGAGATTGATGTCTAAATGGAGCTTCGGTGAACTAACAAGAACGAAATTTTGAAATTCACACCCACACCCCATACCCACCTCCATGTTCATCACCATTCCACGGCAACGCTCGTTAGTAGGGGTGTCAGTTTCGGGTTCCGTTCCGAGGTACGGAAACCCACTCCGGATTCCCGTACCTGCGAATGCGGAACCCATACCGGGTTCCTGTATCTAGAAACAGAGAACACAAAGCTTAGTCTGGGTTCCCGTACTTGGAAACGCGAAACCCTGTCGGATTCTCATTCCTGGGAACCCAGAAACTCATCATGACACTATACGGATGAGAAGAATAAATAGGTATCAATACCTCTAGATGATAGAAAATGCGTGCAAACCAATTTTCAAATGATTTACCAGACCGCAGAACGCAGAACTCAGGTAGGTTATCCTGCTTGGAATAAAATGTTCGTGGGGCTTGTTGCTTCACTAACTAAATGAGCACCATATTTTTCGTAAGATTCATTGCTGAAGTCGCCAATGAGATGCATTTGATCTACTGAGAGCTGATGGCACTCTTAAGATAATACCCTGATATCTTTTTAATAATTTCGTTTGATTGAGGTTACTACAGAAGATATGAAGTCGATACAACAATTGTCGGTATCACTCTCACAATATCGCTTATTGAACCGAACGGAAGCGTTTTAAGCGAGTCTAATTTAAGTCATCGAATACTGCTTCAATTTCTTTTCTTTAGAAGTGCTATTGAAGTTTTTGCGAATTCATAAAACAACATAGTTTGTTACTTACATGTGCCGTGTGAGTTATGTGACTGCTTCCTTATTGAATAATCACTCTCTGTTAGCACTAATTTTCCGTACTTGATATCATCCAAGATCACATGATACGGCAAGCACAAGCCATGAGTCGCTACTATTAAAAAAAAATTCGATGAGTAGAACTAGTGCTTTACAACTTTACAACGTGTCACGATTAAAATATTTGCACAATAAGCAATATAGTACAAAATGTGGTATAGAACTTTCATTAACAGAGAGGGTATAATTATGCCTAGTAAGGAACAGCTTTAAGTAGCAACACCAGCTCATATAAGGTACCAAGTCATTTCAGATTAGGTGTAAGACCAAATATGAAAACAAGTAATTTTAGAAATCATTGTGACGCTGTTTTATTATCAAACAAGCACAGTTACCATCGTGGTTCTATGCTGCTCTGCGTAAAATAAATACGTTTCTTCCTTTTATTTGAGTCCGTGCTTGCTACAATGTGTCAATATAAATTCAAGCAAGTAGTTACGAATTTCTGTACTAAAAGATAATAATTCAAATGGCAATTCATTTTTTTATTGACGATTATTATTCTATGAATAATTATGATAACAGCTTCAGTACGGATAAACTTAACACCAACACTAAGATAAGACACATGTTTTCATATGCTGTAATGTTAACACAGAAAATATCGTAACTATTTAAGTTTAATGAATAATGACAAAAAATGAGGTCAACAAGAAATTTCAACGAAAAGAAACGAAGAGCACAAGAAATATTATGAACAAGAAATAATAGGGACAGAACACTTCAAGAAAATGAATTGATGAATAAAAACAATTTTCATGAACAGAAAGTGATAACAACAAAAAATTTCAACGAATAGAAACAATGACCGCAAAAAACAACAATCATAATTAATAAAAGCATAAACAAAACATAAACAGGTTTTTTTCATACAATATTTAACTCTAGAAGAGCAAATCAATTCGAGTTCATTGATTGAATTAGAAGGTGTGAGTGTTGATGTGGATTGGCATGAAACGTTGACTACTATCCACCCCCACAGCAATACCCACGCCCACGCCCACACCCCATAAAAGACAGTTTAAATTGATGAAAGATTTCATTGAAAATGAACATACTGATCATGATGAATTCTCTGGAGGGAAGAACAACAAATATCTGAAAGACTTGATGTATTTGATTGTTTATCTAGCAACAACGTAATTTTAGAAGAAAAGCATCATTTATTTAAAAAAAAAAGAAAACGCATCACATTTTATCAGTGCATCTTCTATGAAAAGCTACGTTGCACATGTGAAACATGTTTGAAAGCCATTTGATATCGTGTTGATATCGGTAGAAAAAATGTCTGTTGCAGACACATATACCAATCTTTCTATCTTAATTCATGTATTCTTGCTTGAAAATGATCTTTCTGAAGATAAAAAAGCCACTATTACGATTCGGCACAGTGTTCTTCGTCGTTCATCCCATTAAATATTGTTAACGGAAATGATCACGCAATAAATCACTGTTCATGGAATTATGATTAGTAATATAATATAATGAAGTCATAGTATCAGTGCTGAAATGTATAAACGCTATGATCATGTTTGAACGAAAGATACACTTACAATACACCTTTTGAAACTGTTGACAATATGTTATACGTGTTTCAATTAAATTTACTTGAACTCATTGTTGATTCATGATTATCCTAAGATTTGTAAATTCATATCTGTACGGTAGATTATCTTCCCAAATCATTCTGAATATTTCCACACTACACCAGCATGCTCATCAACGTTGCAACACTTTATTCATGATGCCAAAGCCATTTTGAAAAGTAGCATTAATTCAACGTTGATTGAATCATCGATATTGAGTGTAAAGTTGTATCACCACAGTCACTTCTGTATCTAATCAGATCGTCAGTGAAGCTCTTTTGATACGGAATGAGTCATGTGTCCAATATAAATTTAAATACTAATTTGGTTTTCAAAATATGATTCAACCGCTCATATAATCCAAAATTTTTAACCTTTGTTCATTGATGTACCATGCCTCGTTCAACTTGCAGAATAACTACGATCCAAAAACATATTTCATTGTGCTTCAACATCTTTAGAAAGATGTGTTTAACCATATCATTCCAAACGATGGCATAAATGCTGCTTGTCACTGCCCGTGTCTACGTCACAGCAATTCAAAATAGCTCATCTCATCCTGAGTGATCTTTGTGCGAATGATTTTTAAAGTTGTCTATTATGAATGTTTGATTGATTCTCACTATTACCATAGCGTTCGATTTCACCTGAAGTAAGTACGAATATGATATCATATATTTTGATCGCTTTTGTCAGAGCACATTGGATGCAACGATTTTGAAACAGCAAACAATTAAGATACAATGTTCGATTACAGCGTGTACACCCGCAGGATAGTAGATATGCATTGAATTCAGTGTAGTCAACACCAACATATAAATCGGTAAAAAGTTTTTGATGATTGTGCTCGGCAACTCGTAATTTAATATGAATTATTAATCCAACATATAAATGACTATTGGACACGTGTGACGTATAGAACGCCACCATACATCAGTGATATTGTTCAAACTCTTCATCTTCGTATGCTAGTCATGCTATAGATTTTAGAAATTGTCAAAGTTGATTGTGTATGGAAAATACAATCGCTAAATTTCTAACATGTGGCGCTTTTTCAAGAAGATACAATTATAAAAGTAAAAGAGCTTTCGAAGAACAAAAAAGAACAAGAACATCAATATCCATAAAAGCTACAAGAGAAGAACTTGACAAAAAAGTACAACGATTCCATCGAATCAAGATAATATTTTTAGTGTCAGAAAAAGAATAATACAATGTTTGAAACAACAAATTTAAAATCATCATATAATACTTGATCACTAATACAATAAAATAAACTGGTAGATACACAACGGTGGCGAAGTGTATGAATTAGGATATTCTGTTAAAAAAACTACACAAGCGTGAACAAAAATGAGTAAAGACTAAAATAGACGGATACACGCATTAGATAAATGATCAAAGTAAAAAAAAAACTAGAGAAAAAGAAGATCCGATAAGGAAGTGTCGTTAGAGATGATATGATGGTGAAAATGAGGATGAGGGTAATTGAATAGGTTCTTTACATTTGTTCCTGCAGCGTTTCAAAACTGGTCCTAGGTGATTTTGTAAAAGTTCTAGAGATGGGTTTATATCGCTCAATAACATACATGATTATCATTCTGAATAATTTGTTTATGTATTCTCTATTGACGAATTTGTAATCAATGTAATGGTTGGTTGTTGCGTTGTCAACAACGAACACATTTATTCTGTAATTTAATTTTTAATAGACCTTATGATTTATATATAGTTTAGAAGGCGTGTAAAAGCAGGTAAAAGAAGATAAAAACAAAAGCATATGAGAAAAAAAAAGGAAAAAAATGAAACAAAGAAATAAATAATAATAAATGTTAGGTGAAAAAAAATGAAACTAATCATTGATAATAGACAGAACGTGTTTTTTATTCTGCTTCAACTATGCAAATGACTGAGTAGGGTTTAGGATTTTTTATTCTGTGGTTCAATTTTCTCTAAGATTATATACGTTGACCTCTCGTCTTTTTTTCCATTTGCACAAGGAGGTGGTACTTTTGTCTTGATGAATTTAACATCTGAGGATGCTTCTTTTTTACGAGCTTCGTATTCCTTTTTCGATACAGAAGTAGTTTTATATACAGTACTTATACATTTGGGATGGATATGAGCCTTGATAATAACTTCTTGAGAAGATTCTGCACTTCTCAGACCAGGCCCACCTTTGGGAAAAATGAGCCTTGCATCGTTTAAATTAGTCAAATCATATATGATTCGTGATTCATGCGGCAAATAACTCTGATCTGCTAGATCTTGTGGTATTTCGAACACGACGACCCTGCCTTCCTTGACACTAGCCCAGCGCGCCGCTTCTTTTAGACTATGTGTTGCAGAAATCCATGGACTTTTCTGTTTAGCTCTCGTTCCACTTCTAATATGACTCGTTGCTGATTTATTAGGATCATGATTTGGTGGAGGACGTAATCCATCTTCAAATGGCTGCTCATCTTCACGAATTGCTCTATAAAGAATGTTAGGATTTTCACTTTCCGAATCACCTTCTGACGAAGGACGTCTTTGACGACGTCTATATTTACCGATATTTTCCTTATCTATATTTTCGAACTCAATATTTTTCTTATATTTATATCCAGCGCCTATCACTAATATTGCATTTGCCTCCTGAGGATAACGAGATGAAACCCATTGTTCTGCTTTAAACATTTTCACAAATACTTTAGGATTATCTTCAATTCTCTGAGCTCTATCATTACGAAGATCATCGATAGATTTTTCAATACCTCGATCATGTAATATTTTCTGAATAACACTATAACCGCAGTTATTTCGATCGCTTGAAATATCAACAACAGCACCATCTGCTAACATAAGTTGATAGTGCCCTACATCGATATTTCCATTTATGTCTCTCTCTCCTTTCGTGTATACTATGATATTTATACCTTTTTCTTTATCTTCATTGGTAGGTTGATAATTGGGATCGTCGACTATCTTTATATCTAAATTTTGTTGCGCAGCCAGTGCTATCATATCCGATAAGCTTGCTGGTTTATCGGTTCTAACTTCTTCTGTATATTTTCTAGTTTTATTATCGATTATTCCAATATTGGATCGATCTTGTTGTTGTTGAGCATGATAAATAATTTCACATTGACTATATGCAATTGTGTAATCTTTGGCATTGTATCGAATTTGTTTTGCAATTGTATTGTATTTTTCACTTCCTTTTAATGTTATGCCTTTTTCTTGATTCTCTTGATTTTCTCGGTTTTGACTATCAGAATTTTGATTCTTATCAACAATAAAATGATCCTGTATTCTTTCTGAAATAGTCTTTGTCAATTCACCCATACCATAAGTACTCCATGGAGAGATAAGTTGTGATTGTGTTATTCGAAATACTTGTTCTGTTATTGCATCGGATACTAATTTCATAATTTCATTGAAATCATCGATTACTACATTCAATATATTTTCATGTAATGAAGTGAAAAATTTTACGATCGTTTCTTTATGTATATTAAATTGTTTGAAATCAATTGTGTTTAATTTATTCGGAAAATTCTTATTTTCTAATTCATCATTGAATTCTTTAATGCCTTCATTATCAAGAAGACTTAAAATTTCCTTTGTATCTTCTTTACTAATCGTACAATAGTGATTTAGAACTTGATACATGGACAAAGTATCTCGATCTATATCTGTAAGTTTCTTTAAAAGTTTATCATGAACATTTTGAATAATAAACGTAATTTCATACATTCCATTCAAGGTGCCAAGTATTCTAATAGTCATACTTGCTGGACCGCGTATTTTCTCGACACTTGATAGCATACCTTTACATAAAGGACCACCAATGGAGTCCCACTGTTTACTCCAGAAACTATGTTCAGGATTAATTATTTCGATGACTATTCTGTGAATTTTTCCTTTCATTTGTTGTTTTCGACTCATTAAATCGATTGCATACATTTTACGAATTATTTTAAATAGATCAGATTCAGTAAATTTGCTATTTACTCGATTTTGTATTGATGCTGAAATCTGTGGTTTCATTTGTTCTAATACGAAATTTGATCCAATATCTGCAATCTTATTTAAACCTTCTCTTGCTACAGCTTCAGTAACAGTTATACCAGTGAACTTGATTGCTAGACTTTTCAAATTTAGCCGTGTCTTAATTAATGTTGTACCTGCTGATTTTCCACTAGTTATTAACTTTGTACCAGCTTGCTCAAGTAGTTCTTGTCCTGCTCCTGTGACAATCGTCTGTGCTCCTTTAGCTGCATCTTTAATCGATGAAAATCCCATTGAAACAGCTGAAATAACTAGGCTTACTGCTTTTTGTTTACCATAATCAGACCAACTAAATTGTCTCGTACTATAAGCTCGATAGGCAGTAAGCAAATCTGCAGCTCCTTCAGTAATCAAACCCATTCCTACAGTAGCTCCAAAACCCGTACAAATAAGAGCAACACCTACTGCCATTTGAACAACGCCTAGAATAGCTACACTAGCAACGCTTAGCCATGGAATAAATTTCTTCTCGCTAATTTCAAGTAGATATTCGATTCCTCGTCCTGAAAATTCTGAAAGTTCTAAATCTGGCTTTGAATCACTCATAAATAATTCACTTAAAGATTTGACTTTATTTATTTCTATATTTTCTTGATCGATAGGAGCTATTTCTATTAGTCTTTGTGCTTGAGTACTTTTCAAATGCTTAAAGACTAAACTAAAATCGAGATTTTTTTTTCTTATTTGTTTTATTAAAATTTGAGCCGTTTCTTTTCCTAATCGATCAAAATGAATATTGATAGATTCATCATTTAGTCCATTCAAGAGACTGTTGAAATCTATGTTAATGAAATGAATATTAAAATTTGCATTCGGACAAATCGAAAGAATATTGTCAATTGTTTGTGTATTTAAATCAATTAATTTTATACATATATGATCCTCTTTATTTTCTTCGATTTTTCTCTTTCCTATTGTCTTATTAACTAATTCTTTGATATTATTAACATTCTTTTCTTCATTTTGAAACGTACATAATTCGATATTTTGTATGTTGAGAGAACGAAGAACTTCTAATAATTGTTCTTTTCTATCGAATATTTCAAGATTAATATTTAGATTAATATTTTCAGATTTTATTTTTGTAAATTTCTCTCGAATTTTTTCTCCATTCAAACAAAGAAATTCGACAGTTAATTTCGAAATATTTATTATTTCGGTTCTTAAAACTTTGGATATTTCGTTCGCAGATATAAAAGTTAAATTAAAGCGTACATTCTTTTCTGTTTGTTTTTCAATTATTTCTATTGCATTTCTTACTTGTAAATGAGATTCTTCTTGTATTTTATTATCGTTAAGAATAATATCTAAATTCACTGCATATGAATCAGGAGATAAAGACTCTGGCAGTAAATGACGATGAAAAAATGAACTTTTATCTTTTAATTGTACTAGAGCCATCTCTTTTGTAACTTCTTGAACTTCGATATTAGGATTGATAAGCTCTTTCAATATTTCTGAATTAATCTGAGATATACTGACTCTAATATCTTTATAATCAGTACTGAGAATATGTCGTTTTGTATTGCTCAAACGATCAAGTAAGTTAGGTTTAGATATTGCCTTATCTATAGTCTCTATAGCTTGATCAATAGTACCCATATCTTCTCTTACAGTGAGATCATTGAACGTTACTTCATATTCTCGATCTTTTGATAATGTTTGAAGAGGAGCTAAAAAGTCTGCTCGAACGTAACCATTTTCAGAAACGATTTTTTGATAAATTCTATTGTAAATTTTAGAATTTGTATTTCTATCAAGAATACTCTCATCAAATGATACGGTTAAAAGCCAATTATTCAATTGGGTATCATCTATAGGCCATTTAGCTATTTTATTTTCTATTCTATGTTTATAAATAACTATAAATTTATCTTCATCTTTTTTCGTGATCCCAATTTCATCACAATTTTCTATCGAAGCTTCGTATCGATCACTCTGGTCAGAGGAAATTAAACGAATATTACACCATTTTCCAATACCTTTCTCAATTTCATCATGCGTAATTACTCTTTTAAATACACCACTATTATCTACATCGGTTTTCATGTTTTTACAGTCTATGATATCTGTAATTTGTATTAATCTACGAGATTTTCTAATTACGTTCACGAAATTTTCTAAACTATTGCAATAACTACCTAAAATATTAAGTTTTTGTACTAATTGTTTCGATAGAGAGCTATTTATATTGAAGGATGATCTCTTTTGTAAAAGTGTTTGGATCGATGTTAGTAAAGCCATTTCTTCAGCTAAGATTTCAAGTGCTCTACGGAATGCTCTCATAGCTGCTTCCTTATAGCCAAACTCTTGTTCATTCGAGCCAATAAATGTTTCTTTACCTTTTATTAATAACCAACCTTTACCAACGAAAGCTGCCGCACAATGATTTGAATCAAGTTCTATAGCCTTATCGAAGTGCTTCATCGCTTCATTATACTGATTTGTTAATGATGAATCATTTATGATTAAATCATTACCTATGTTGATACAATGATAAGGATTCTTAATCACACAATCATTTGCGTAATTACTCAGTATATTTTCACTAAATTTTTCGTAGTCAGCATGAATTTTCTCTATATTGATAGGAAATTTTTCATCATCAATTTTACGTAAAAACATTGCCCATTGTTCTTCAATACTGAGTAAAGTATTCGACTCAACAACAGACGGATTCACATGTACAAATGTATTTTTTACATTATTTTTTACGTTTGTCCACCAGCTAATTTTCTCTCTAATTTTTGAACGTATCTCTTTTAATAATAAACAAAATTTAATAAAAAGTTCATCTTTCAATGTAATGATTTTTAATTCACAACTTTCAAAATCACATAACATTTTCGCTTCAATTCTATCTCGAAATTGTGTAATTTTTTGTATATCAAAATCTTCATATTCTATTAAATTAATTGCATTTAAAATTCGTTGACTTGTACCACGTTTACCTTGACGTGATGTTCTACCGAATGCTTGTTCTTCGACACGTTTATTAGGTGGCATAAATGTTACAATAACATGAAGACCGCCATGTTTTTCTATTTCTTCCGTTTTTATATCTGTACCTCGTCCTGCTAGATTCGTAGCAATAATTATTTCTCCCGGATTTATATTTGCAACATTTTTCTCTTGATTCATATCATTCATCGTATAGAGTTTAATTGCACTAGAACGATATTTTTGTTGCAATTTTTCTACTATACTTTTAGTATGTTCGATAGTTTCACAAATAACTAAAGTTCCACGTTCTTTACTCGATTCATTTATTGCTGAATGACAAATTTCTTCTAACCAATCTTTTTCATTCATAACTATAATGTCAGGTAATGAAAGATGTTGTTTTTGACGTAGACTAGGAATAATAACAAAATCTACATGATAGACATCGCCTAGTACTTGTTTTGCTTTATCTGAACCGAGTGTGCCGGTAAGACCGAATAATTTCGAACTGTACCGTGTAAAATATCCTCGATTCGAAAGAAAATTTGTTGTAAATGTTTCTGATGTCATTTTGAGTTCATGTTTTATTTGTAAAAATTGATGTAATCCATCACTCCAATTCGATGAATTCTGTACAATACCTGTACTGTAATAATCGACTGGTTTTATCAAACCATTATGTACAATATAATGTACATTTTCTTGATAGATCAATGCTGTAATAGCATTATCTATCCATTTCGGTATTTGTGAATGAACAAAATCAGAAAAATTTTTCGGTATTTTGAGATTTTCCTTGATGAATGTTCGAATATAATTATCTAAGTTCTCCTTAATAAATTCATCTTCTTTATCATCTTCTGGTATATATTTTCCTATATTACTTATATCGGATGTAGAGGCTAGATGAGTTTTTAAATCTGGAATACTAACAATATCTCCCTGTTCATTTGCATATTCAAGTGTGATTAGTTTTTCTTCGAACTTAATTTTTCCATAAAATAAATACATTTTATTATCTAAACGAATTATTTTCTCTTGCAAAGAAATAAGTTGATGCCATAATAGTTGATAGATTATTTGTAATTGATCCATACCTGACATAGTCGATGCTAATCGTGCTATTTTCGAACTATCATCAATAAGCATACTATCGACTTCATCGACAATGGCAACATCACATTTCCTACCGGCTAATGTATTCAATTCAGCATATTCTGTTCTCAATGTATCGAATTGAAATTGTGCTGCTTCACCATAGACAATCTGTTTTCTGTAACATACTTTAGGACCTGATAGATACACTGCTTTATCATTATTATGACTACATTGAAGATCAAACATACTATAGAAGTTTTCTTTTTCTTTTGCATCTCGTTCTGCTAGTACAGGTGAACTCGTTATGATATCTACTGTACTCCCTAATAAGGCGTAAACAACTGCTAATACACTAATGATAGTTGATTTACCTTCGCCTGTTCCTACTTGTAGTAATCTACCTTGGTTTTTGTTGGCATTCAAAATAATCAAACAACTTAGAATTTGTGCATCTGTAAGATGAAATCCAGTATCTATGAAATTTGCTTGTTTAATTACTGCTAGAGCTTCTATAATGAAATCTTCGGTATCGATACAATGTGTAATATAAGCTTTGACCATATTTGCCCATAGACGAATATGATCTTTTGTCCATTGCGAGATAGAAATTGAAGGAATTTGATTTTTCAGATTTGAGTCTTCTGCTATAATATTCTTGAATAACAATGATAATAAATTTGAACTTTTAATTTTTTCTATTAAATCTAATAATTTTTTTTCATCTAAAGTTTTCAAATTTTCATTCTGTGAATTTCTACTTTGCAATTCTTGTACTAATTCTTTTGACATTTTAATTTGACCTTTATCAGAAAAGTTGATTTCAATTGCAATTTTATTAATCTCTTTTTGCCAATCTTCAGTTGAATTCTTTAAAATTGTTAATATTTTTTCATAGTTTTCTTCTTTTGGAGAAATTTTATAATGTGAAATAATCTCGAGAATAGATAAAAAATATCGTGCTTTTTCTCGACTATTTGATTCTTTCACAATAGTGAAAAAATGATTTATTTGTTCGAAAGTCCAATTCTTATCTAACAAATCATCCAAACAAATACCTAATTTCAATCGATCAACTTTTTCTATTTGATTACCTAACAGTTTGATTTCTAATGATCGTTTTAGTGTAGAAACAGTCGCATTCTTAACATAAATATCCGATGATTTTATATGATATATTTTAGAAAAATTCAAAATATTTTCAAATTCTGATAAATTACTGATATTTTGTAAACTACCGAGAAATTTTTGACTTAGATCAAAGCCAAAGTTCGACATCATATTCGATGCTAGAGTTTCAATATATTCACTACTAATTTCAGCTCTATTGAATAAACATTGATGAATAATAACTGTTAGATATGCCTGTCTTAAATCGACAAATGCTTGACTACTATGCAATAAAATATTATGAGCAGTGTCGAAATCAATTTGATCTAGAATCTTTACTGTTTCATAACATTCTGTAAAGAGCACATTATTATTATTTACTAGAAAACGATGTAAAAGTTTTAATAACATATTACTGTGATATTTTCTATGTTCTTCGATATCAAGCCAAGCTTCATAGAATTGAAAACGTTCTGCTTCAGTTATATGAAATCGTTCAATTAAATCACAGATTAAAAGTTCTCTATTCCATTGATTCTGTGGTGTACCATAAATTTTATCAAAATCAATGTATTTTAATGCTGCGACGGTTTCGAATAAATCTAAATCGAACTCAACTTCGACATCAGTATTATCTTCAAGTTTATCAATAATATGATTACACCACTGTAGAAATGCTGAAGATTTGAAACCTCTATCATAAGTTGCTCTTAAACCTCGAAATGACCAATAACGAATGATGTCATTATCATTGAAAATATTTATTTCCAATGATTTTAATTCAGACATTTCCTTAACTTCTAATGTTAGCGCAATACATATAAGTATATCACAATGAAATATATGAAACTTATCATTTTGATCTAAAATATCTATGAAAATCTTGAATATATCATTGAAATAATTAGTTTGACATTTCGTTCTTTGGATTACTATTTTATATGCATCTAGAATGTTTTTATTTAGTATCTGAGATAAGATCGCTTTCTCTACACTATCAATAATGGTTTGATTAAAAGAATATTGAGGATTTTGTATTAAAATCAACGCATAAATATCAATTAATTTTTGTTCTAAATTATTTTTAAGTTTGTTCTTTTCAATTTTCAATGAAATTAACTTTTGAATCGATAAATGAGAAAATATTCGATTTCTTTGATATTCTTGCCGTATAGTATCTAAAAATTCTTCAACTCTGATCAAACAGTTCATATCAGAGAATAGTTTTATCTTATTTTTCAATTCTTCTGATATTGTTTGATTGTTTGAAATTATCTTAAGAATTTCTATTGGTTTGTCATTTTCATCTTGAGCAAGAACGAGTGATATGATTTCATCAGTTACTTTTCTTCCAGTTCCAACTATCTCAGCAATGACTTGACAACATAATGATTTGATATGTTTTGAATTAGTACTAGCTAATAAAACAGCAATACTGTTCAATAATTTATCTGTGATATTTTCCTTATTTGAACATTTCCGTAAAATTTCTAAAGCTTTAAGACTCAATGTTGAATCATTGTCAATAACACAACTAATTTGATTGAAGTTTTGTGTCAATAACTTAGGTTTATCAAACTGATCTAATTTATCAAGTAATTGATCGTAATTATCAAAATTTAAATAGGCAAGTTCATACGCACATTTCTGATTGTTTTCTAATGTGGAAATATTCAATAATATACGAATGTCTTGTCTAATAGTTTCATTGCAAATGTCGCTTGTGATTAAACTTAGAAGTATATCTATGGTTTCTTTTTCTGGTACAACTTTATGATGAGATACAAGTATTTTTAATCCGTTTATGGCTTTACGAATAACATCTTGATAGTCAATTTTAAGAGCATGAACTAATGCTGTTTGAATACGAGCAATTATATTTTTAATGGATTTTCGATACAGTATTCGAACAAAAAGATTTCTCGTATCAATTGCAAAATAATCTTTTGTCTCAATAACTGAACAGATAACAGACAGATATTGTTCTATAATAAATGAATTTTTTATACTGAAAAACTTATCGAGTATTTTGTTAATGATCTTCACAGATAACTTTTTACCTTTTTGTCCTTCAAGGAGAAAAATAATTAATACTTGATCAAGAATACATGGATTATTCAAGGCTTTAGTCAATTTGGATGAAAGTTTACTCGGTATGTCTTGATTATTTTTCACTAAATTTTCAAATATTCGAATAAAATCATGTTGTTCACTGTAAGGATTAAATCTTCTCGTTAGTTTTCCAACTAAACCAATAGGTATTATTTGTCCATTATTTGAAACATTCAACAAAATTTTCAAAATATTATTATCGATCATCCATGGAATGTTGATGACTTGTGCTAATGCTCGAAAACCATTAATTGTTAAACGATATCCATTCTTTGTTTTTTCAAGTAAATAAGCAATAGCACACTTAGCTTCCAAGTAATGTGAACTGATAGCTCGACTAGACTTTTCTAATTCAAATATATTGAAAATTTCTTCAGATATATCTTGATTATCATTCGCCATATCTAACAGATGATAGGAACTTTCTCTTAATTTATCACTGTGTGATAAATAAAAATTATCGGCAATGATACGAAGGATTTTTTCACTAACAATCTGTTTATTATGAATTATATTTTCAATTACTTGAAAAACTTGATTAAATAATTCAGGTGTCGTAACAATATTTTCTAGTGCAGATAGAGTATCATCTGGAATGAGAAATTTATTTGCTGAATATTTACGTAATATTTCAATAGCATCAACTTGATATTCATTTTCGAGCAATAGAATATGATCGAAAATTCGAAAAACATCATCTTCAAATGGATTATTTGCAGCTTCATTATAGAGTAAAAATAGAATTTTTTTATTTACAATATTAGCAAAATTTTCTTCACCTAATTGTAAATCTTCAAATACATAAATTCTCGGTAAATAACTAACATGACTTGCTGCAATAAAACCGTATGATGATGATAATGTCGCTAAACCTCGAACATAAGCTACGGTCAAATAAACAGAAACATCATGTATACGACTTTCTATATGTTCTTTTAAATCAAATAGAATTGGATCCTTTATTTCATGAGTTTCTGCAACTAAATATAATGATTTTGCTGATAGAATACAAGTTTGTTTATCTTTACTATCGAGTGATTTAACAAGATAATCAATACTTTGATCATTTATTCTAATATTTTTCTGCAAAGATGTTAAAAACATTTGAGCAACAATGGATGAAATCCATTGACAATCAAGATTGTATTCAGAAGCCTTTTCAAAACTAATATCAATTTCATCTCTAATTATAATACTGTCTTCTAACCATTTACTAGCTAGACAATCTACCTTGAAGATTGCTTGTTGTTCAGCAACAATTCTCAGAACTAGAATAACGAAATTATCAAATTTATCATCACCTTTATTCATATTTTCAATGAGAATTTCCATCATAAATTCCGGTAACATTTTCACTTTCTCGACAGTTAAAACAATTGATTTTAATGCTTCAAGTTTTAAATCTTCGCTATCTTGCGAATGATGCAATAGATAAGCATAATTTCTAAGTTGAATTTCATTCAAACCTTTACTGTAACTAGATTGAAGATAATTATTTATTATCGAACAGACAATTAACTTTTCATGTTGACTTAAATTCTGTTTGGTAAATACACTACTAATTATTGTTATTGAATTTTCATCAAATAATTCTTTACATCTATTCATATCTTTACTCTGTTCGTAAATATAACTAATGGCATGGATTAGATTTTCATTTTGTTCGAATTGTTTCAAACATTCATTGAATAATTTCTTATAATTAACATTCTTATTATTTTCAATCAATAAGAATATTTGAATGATCCAATTTTTAAATTCTCTATCATCATCATCTATATATTTTTGAATATGATTCAATCGTTCATCTGTTAAAATCCATTTATTTCGTATTGTACAATTATAAATGGCTGATATGGCATTAATTCTTATAGCTTTTAATTTAAATGTTAATCCTTCGGATATATTGCTTTCATTTACAATAGAATCACCTTTAAGTAATTGTAGAATATGTAAAGGAAAAAGAGCAGCTTTAAGAAAAAATGTATAGTTTCTTATAGCACTTTCTCTTCCGGTGGGTCCACCGAGAATTTTCCATTCGAGTCCATCGAGACTGTCTATACATTGAATAAGTAAATGTATTGTTTTATCGTTTAAGATATGCTTTTTAGATATTTCAAGAAACATCTCAGAGATCATTAGATCCAAATATAATCCTTCTATGTACTCTATTCCAGGCGTTAAAAACCATTTTTTACTAATTCCTAGAAATCTTGACGGTAAATATTCATCTTTATCTGTCTGTTTAAGTATTTGTCCACTTTTTACTCTCTGATAAAGATTCGAAATTTCTGCACTCGTAGTTCTCCACATAGATTGATCACTTCCACCTTTATCTTGTACAGTTGGAAGAATTTCTGTATTCGTACTTGTTTTAATATCAACTTTTCTATTCTTAAAAAAATTAACAGAACTTAATGCATCTGTAGATTCTTCGGATTGCTTATTTTTTGATTTTATTTTCATTGTTTGCTGATTTTTTGTAACAGCTGCCTGTTTTAATTTGCGCGAGTAATTCGTAGACATTTTTATTCGTCTTTGTGTACTATGACGATCTTTATTATCGACAAGAAAATATTGATTTTGAACTTGTTCATTAACGAAACTGAGTGATTCAGTACTAATTTTGTCCTCGACATTTTCTATTGTACTATTGATTCGGTTTACTAAATTTTCGTCTAGTATTTTCTCAGAATTTTTACTAAATGAATTTTTTATTTGATAGCCTAATGTCCATAACATTTCAGATCTTATCTTTGGTCCTTGATTCTCTTCTAAGATTTCTAACAGTTTCTCTATTTCAAACTCAAAATCTTCCTTCTTCACAGCATGTTTCATTGTCTGTACTAATATCAATTTAATGCCATCATCAACATTCTTATCTAGTAAATCCTGATAAATTTGATTCCAAATGTATTCGGGTAGATGAAACTGTCGAGCTATATATCTTAACTTGCTCGATATACGTAAATGAAATCGTTTATCTAATTGATAACCTTCATTGAGTTTATCTATGATTTGTTGCTCATCCAATGTTTTACATAGCTTGCACAAACTTTCTTTGATTTCATCTTTTCGATTAGATTTTTTCAAACAGATCCATATAACAAAAGAAATCCCCCAGAATAACAAATAAACGTACCAATCAAACATATCACTTATCCTATTATTGTTATATAATTTTGGTTGATTTTTACAATATAATCGAACAAGATCTACTTGAAAATATTGTTTGACTTCTTTGATATGATGTCGTATTGATCCGTGTTTGTAATCACATCAGTAAAATATATTTAATTTTCCATTTCATCTAAATATAATAAATCATAGGAATTGTAAATACGAAAAGGTGAATGGTCGATATCACAAAAACAAAGAATCTGCATCATGTACGTATCTTCAAATATATGTTTGTGAGCGATTTCTATGCTAAAATATTTAGTCAATTACAGCTTGAAACTCTTGAAAACTCTGAACTTTATCGTTCTTATCCTTCAAAACATATTAGTAGTCTGAATGGTAAAATATTTACAAAACACATTAGTTGCTGTAAAGCCATCGACACAAGAAAAAACATCAAACTAAGTTCATAACAATTCATTAGAATAAAGAGCATCCAGTAAGTAAGTTCTGATCTCTTTATGCAACATATTTGCACATAATGAAATTAAATAGAAAGCTGAAATTCGAGGATGAAGTAGACTATGATATTACAAGAGTAGTGTCTTTGAAAAGAGACACCATCCTGCAATTTATAAAAGGATATTCAATGGTGTGTCCTAAGTTGCTGAAAATCAATCTACGTCATACTCAACTAACATGTAGTCTAATTGAAGATTATTAATTCTGCATTTAGTTATAAACAAGAGTAAGAGTTAAGATTATGTTCATGATGTGTTGAGAGAACAGTGCATCGGAGAATTTCACAACGAAAAAAAATATTTACTGTAAGCGTTCATATTATTGTTCTTCATCGTCGGCGAGACTGTATCTGAATCAAGTAATGAAAGGATGACAATAAACTAATGAATCTATCAATTATCGTCTTGTTTTACAAATCGAAGCATTCTTTGCTATTTTCAATCCAAGAAAAGAAATTCACTATCGTCAACATCAGTCTTTTGTACTGATGATTAATTTCTTTCTATCGGGCTTTGATATCGAACATGGAAATAAATCTATCTTCTCCAAGACTGGATAGAATAAAAGGAAACAGAAATGATTGTTTATATCGTTAACTTTTTTAATAATTCTAATAAGACAGATTTACTGTTCTTTAACCGACTGTCAATATATTTAAAGGAATACTTACACAGTTGATGTCGAGAAATGTATTTTCAAGTTTTCAATGTTGTTAGAGTTTACTTCAACTTCCACAATTTAAAATCTACAATAGAATATCATTCTTATCTTGTAAATTTCATTGTGAATATGAAAACAAACAAGTTCTAACGAGGTTAATTAGAAATTGTATCTAAATATTTTTGGTTTTTAATCGAATAATGATTAAATGCAAATAGTGATCATGTAAGTTCTTTGCGTATTGATCGAGTTTTACCAAGCCGAGCTACACTCTATGTTACTTTCATATTTTTGTATTTTATGATTTTATTTCTATCCAAAAAGTATATTGAGATTGAAAAGTTTGTGTGACTGCATTTGCTATTATTGCAATCAAAAAAATTCATATTTGCTTAAGACTCTACTATTCTGATCTAAGTGTGCTAGAAGTATTTACTCAACATCAGTTATTTTAAATGGATATTTACTTACGAAAAAAAACAAGAGATGAAATAACAACAAAACAAATGTTGATTTATCAAGATTTTAACGTAGGTAACTATTCTTCAAGCGTAAGCGATCAAGTACTTTATTAGCGTGCCATAGTGACATACGCAGAGATGTATGCACTGAAAGGTTTAGGTGTGGATGTAAGTTTGAGTAATAAATGGATTGAATACCCACATACACATCCTCAGTGTCAAAAAAGATTTGTGAAACAGCTTTAGTATCATTGAACTGGAGCTGCTCGAACATTTCTCACTAGACTAGAACTATGTTTCAAAGTAGAAAGAAAAATAATACATAAGTAAATGGGGCGTCTCTACATTGAAATATAAAACTTTTTAATTTAACAGTAGCGAAAAGATATGTAATTGACAACATCAGAAAGAAAGATTACCGAAAATGACAGAATTTACTTTTCCAGAAAACTGCAAAAAGTAAATTCTGCATAGACTATCTTTTATAATGAAGTTTACTGATATTGTGCAATTGTATTAGTAATATTTAATAGTGACATACATACCATACTATCGAATGTTTTTCCGTTCTTCGTACAGTGTACATTTAAGCTGTTTAGATGGAAGACAACAGAAAAGAATGTATAATGGCGTCATTGTATAGTAAAAAATTAGTTCGCTAGTTATAAACAGTTTATATGTACACTATAGGATGAACGAAAAAACATTCGATGGTGTGGTGTGTATGTCACTATTAAATAGTGCTAATGTAATTGCACAATGTCAGTAAACTTTATCATAAAAGACAGTCTATACAGAATTTACTTTTTGCAGTTTTGTGGAAAAGTAAATTCTGTCATTTTCGGTAGTCTTTCTTTCTGATGTTGTCAATTACATATCTTTTCGCTGCTGTTAAAATAAAAAGGTTTATAGAAAGAAAAAATTTGAAATAGAACTATAGTATGCTAAAACATTAAACGGATCAGAAAATAGTACTCAAATCTAGAACCCTAAAAGGTTTCGTATGAACCTTTTTTTTTCATAGAGCATTAGCTAGTGAATGCCTTCTTTTCTCAACATTTCATGTCATTTGGATAGAGAACTAAAAAAATCATTGTCTTCATGCGTATTTTCTTTGCTAACGACATTTGCTCTATTTTCTCATGTAAATATATATGTGAGGGGACAATCGTTGTAACCTGTATTCGAGAAGAATTCGAAAGAAAATTTTTTCTCTGACTACCTCTTTCCTTTTATATTTTGCTTCACAAATTTTATAAAAGAACATGAGAGTGGGCGACGATGAATGATTATGGTGAGATTGTTAGTAAAGACATAGAATACCGTCAATATTTGCTTCCAAATATGCCATTTTTTTTATCCACGCTTTTTTTTTGCCTTTTTTTTTTCTTTCTGTTAACTTTATCTCTATTATTTTATTGTATTTATAGAAGAAAAAAAGTGAAGTAATTTGTTTTTCTCCGCTTTCAGCAAAGCTATGGCTTTAAAAAAAAGGTGACGAGGGTAAAAACGAAATAATATTAAATAACACTTCCCTCTCGACATTGTTGTTCTGATTTCAGTACGTGTTTCTTATAATCATCATAACATTGAATGTGCCTCATAAGTATTAATGTCGCCACAATTGTATGTAGTAGTAATAATAGTACAAGGCTTTTATTTAAGTGCCAATAAAGATAATTAGAGAGCACCATACTATGAGCGAACATCGTTTCTGTAGCAAAAAAAAGCCAATTTGAAACAACGTTTAATGGAAACAAGATAAAGTAAAAAAATAAAGGTAGACCATCCATTTATACTGAAAGATCCAAGGCGAAAGAGAGAGAAAGAAAGAAATGGAAGGAAATGGAAAAAGAAAAGCTTACGTTAACATCGATTAAGAAATATGTATGATATAGGCAGATATTTAGGATGCCAGATTTTCATGAGTGGTAACACAGTGTCTAATTGTAAAGAGACAAACGATCTTCTGTCAACAGTTTATGAACGTTTTTACGAAGGGTGTGGATGGGGTATGCGGTGGGTGGGGGTAAGATGTAGATGTAGGTGTGGTATGGGTGTCACACGAGTGTGGATGAAGACTGATCACACACCCGCACCCACACGCACACTCCACACTGCATTGGCAACCTTCTACATAATTATAGTCATTCATGTGATATTCAACACTTTTCATGTTTGATACTATGAAATCAGCATCACTTTATCATGCACATTCATCTTTATATAGAATGCAGTCAATAAAGGGTGTTTCATAAGTTTTGGGATACGACAAAATTCGTCTATTTGGACACATAGGACAATGTCGAACCATTATGTTTTTCAATCAACTTCGAGCGCCCGTGACAGCCTTTCACATGATGTATTACTGAATAGTATCTTCCTCTATAATAATAAAAATATACACCTGCCAATGTGATGATGACTTTTTTGACATCGATCAATATGCTTCAGGATGTATTTGACAAATATCGCAGCGTAAATCAATGATAAAATCTTGACTTTGTTTTTGTAAGATACGGCGTGACAAGCTGTATAAAAAGTATTTGAGCAAATAATTACCAACTTGTTCTGATTCATATTCAAAATGAATAACTGTCATGATAGTGATATCAAATAAAATAAAAAAATATTTCGAAGACTTTCATACTGCATATGAGTTCTATTTGCACACATTTTGTAGAGCTTTTTATGATGCATCTCTTAATATCAAACTCAAGATCTTCTGTTTTTCCCAAATTGAGATTTATGCACAATAGAAAAGTCTTCGAAGTATTTTTTATGTTATTTGATATCACTATCATGACGGTTGTTCATTTTGAGTATGAATCAGGACAAGTTGGTAATTATTTGCTCAAATATTTTTTATACAGCTTGTCACGCCGTATCTTACAAAAATAAAGTCAAGATTTTATCATTGATATACGCTGCGATATTTGTCAAATACATCCTGAAGCATATTGATCGATGTCAAAAGAGTCATCATCACATTGACAGGTGTATATTTTTATTATTATAAAAGGAACATGCTACTCAGTAATACATCATTTGAAAGGCTGTCACGAATACTCGAAGTTGATAGAAAAACATAATGACTCAACATTGTCCTATGTGTCCAAATAGACGAATTTTGTCGTATCCCAAAACTTATAGAACACTCTGTACCTTTTTCACTTAAATCTTTTCTCTTTCTTGTTTGATCTCTCTCGTTTTATATATTGTCATCACTAAAAATGAGTGTCTTTTCATTTAAGATTTTCCTGCAGACAAGGCATGTTTCTTCTCCACTTAGTCACTTTCTGTCTTATGTTCCCTCTTATTCAACCTAACATTTATCTTTATTATACGCATGATGATCAAGCCATCGAGTTCTATGATTGCATAATGCATGAATCACTTTTCTATTGTCGTCGACCATACACAATCATCGATCTTTTCCGAGACAATAATACAGCATCATGTAAAAATAATGACGGTATATCTCATCTCATGTCTCATATGCGAACAGATCAAGTCAATATCAGCACTGTTCTACATACATGGAGATCAGGTCTCGAACAAGTCGAAAAATATTCACGTTATCTTCGAGATCCTCCTCATCATCATTCTGATGGATATCTCTGTCAATGTACGCATCCACAAGCATTTGGTAAGAACTGTGAATATCAACTACCTATTGGAACAACATTCGACGAAACACTTCGATGGCAGTTCGAAAAGAAACCTCCAACTCCGTGGGATGTACAGCGCTATGGTAATATTACTTGTTATGAAACATTGAAATGTGATTTTGGATTGTTGTGTCTTGATTGGCGCGAGATCTGTGATGGTGTTCAACATTGCATGTATGGATATGACGAGTACAATTGTGATCTGTTGGAACTGAATCAATGTGATGATAATGAATATAGATGTCAGAATGGGATGTGTATTCCAGCTGAGTACTTTCTTGATGGCGATCTGGATTGTATGGATTGGACTGATGAGATGCCATACAAGAGGGATAATGAATGCACTAGTGATAGTGCTAGCTCAGAATGTGATGATCGTTTATGCCCATTACATGAGTGGTCATGTGGTGATGGACAGTGTATTAGAGATCGACTGGGATTTCAGAAGGGAGCGATATATGAGACATGTGTTAGTCGACGAGATCAGTGGTTCATATGTGAAACTCATCATAAAACAAAAATGTGGACCATGCCCAATGGACGATGCTATGGATTGAGACGATATAAAGACTCAATAATCAACATCGACACTCTTGAAGAGCGATGTGAATATTTATTGAAATGTGCATTATCGTGGGGCAACGAAGTAAAATGTCCGTGTAACCAAGGCCCACTGTGCGCCACTATTCTCGCTAAGAACTGTTCTCTAGAACTAATTCGATACCCAAAAGGTGCGATAATAGGTCCCTATGGATCATTCCTCTTTAATCGTGATCGAGAATGGACCAGTTCATTGCCCGATTTGCTACTTGTGAACGGAACGATTCAATGTCGAGATGCTTTGATTTCGATGGCGCGATGCATTTATTTTGATGCATCAATGAATGCACATCGAATTGCTGAAAAATTGTTTTGCGTTCAAATGATAAATTACTCTCTTTTAAACAATCCCATGGAAACACTGGAATGTTATCGTAGAAGTGGATCAAGCAATATTTGCAACGATTCCAATACATGTATAGCAATCTCTCGCATTAGAGATGGTTTTGCTGATTGCCTGAATGGAGAAGATGAGTTACCGAAACCTGATATGGGTAACAATTGTTCTCATGTTCGACGTCATCGATTTCGATGTTCGATTGATCAACCAACATGTCTCAATGTAGCTGTGCTAGGAAATGAACAGGAAGATTGTCAGAATAGGTATGATGAATTTTGGTTGGGGACAGATCGGCGGCTCATCGAAATGAATTGTAACCGTCAGAAAAAAGACGAGTGCCTTCTACTTCGTCAATATATCGAGCAATCATGGACATCATCCCAAGATGATGATACTCGCACACAAACTCGCGGCTCTTTTCGTTCATACTGTGACACATTCTGGGATGTCGGTTCAAGGGAAGATGAGAATCTCACTGAATGTCGACAATGGTGGGTTTGTCCGGAGAACTTGATACAATGTCGAACAGGAGAATGCATTCAGAAGCGTTGGATTGATGACGAAGAATGGGATTGTATTGATGGATCGGATGATCATCAAGCATTAAATAATATGATCGACTATATAAGAAAGAAAAAGTCGAAACCTAGTCCGGATAATGAATTAGAACTACTCTTCAGTCGTTGTAATCGAACACATCCATTTCCATGTCTTGCTCTGAACCTTTCGCGTGAAAATTCTTGTATTAGTCTTGATCGGATTGGCAATGATGAGATCGATTGTGCTGGAGCCATCGATGAACGAAATACGCTACAACATTGTGATCATACATTGATGCTTGGAAGTGATTTTCAATGTCTCTCGACTAATACTTGTATTCCATATTTGTTTCATTGTCGACATAAAAAGCGATGTCCTAATCCAATTGATGATCATCATTGGTGTTCTCGTCAACATCAATTATCAGCAGATTGTGTTACTGCGCAAGATTTCGTCTGTTTCAACGGGACATGTGTTCGAGGCAGTCGTTGCAACAACATTTACGAGTGTTCATTTGGTGAAGACGAATACATGTGTGATTATCGAAGTTGGAAAGCTGAGAAAGTCACTCGGTATCGTTCAAGAAAATATAACCAGATGAAACGAGCACAAGCATCACTCCGCCTACCACAATTTCCACCAACCTCGAATATGACTAAATTTGTTTCTGATTCGATCTCCAATTCAACATCATCTGTCCTAAATTTATCCAAGCATCGCTTAGCAGACAGGGCTGCATTTGAATGTAATCGTGGCGTTGGTATTGTACTCTCCAATCATTCCATCGTCTGTTTTTGCCCACCACAATACTATGGTGATCGATGTCAATATCACTCTGACCGACTATCAATCCTTCTACATCTCAATCTTTCTCACTCCATCTATGCAGATCACCTTGATCCATCGATTGTTCTCAAACTTCTCCTTCTGTTCCTTTTTCACAATGAAACACTGATGACACATGAGTTTCATGTTCGTCCATCACTGGAAATGACAATCATCAATAAGAAAATGGTACATTTCCTCTACTCTCGATCATCTTCTTTCCGTCAACATCGCCGTCAACGATATTTCAATCGATCGCAAATCATGTTTTCTCATCCTTATTCCATTCAAATCGAGATCTATCAGAAAGGTCATCGCGGAGATCCAATATTCATGGGAGTATGGCAATATCTGATCGTGTTCGATCATTTCCCTGTCTATCGTTTAGCGAAGGTTCTTCACTTGACCGATCCATCAGCATTTCCACAGCCAGATCCATGCTTGTCAAATCCATGCCATGGACGAGGTGAATGTCATCGATTGCTCAGTCATCCATCCAGATATCTCTGTTTGTGTCCGGCAAACTCTAGTGGAGAGAACTGTTTGATCGAAGATGAACAATGTCGAAATGAATATTGTGCAGCAGGTGCTTTGTGTAAACCGAATTATCGTCGCCTTATGCGAGGAACCAGATATCCATACTGTGTGTGTCCATTTGATCGATATGGTGAGCGATGTGATATCATTCATGATGGTTGTCAATCAAATCCTTGTCTCAACAATGGCTCTTGTGTTCCAAGAGCCATGCCTAATCAAGTAATGTGTATATGTACTGAGGAATATTATGGTGAAATATGCCAATGGAAAAGGCCAAAGATTAGCGTTTCGCTAGAGACTTATGTGGACTATAGAGGTGTAGTGATTCAGTACTATGATTTGAATTTGATTTCTCTGGATCTGATTCCTGTTTATCAACAAGCCTTTCAAGTTCCTCCATCATTTATTCAATATCAACATTATCGGAACATAACTCCAGCCATGATCATAGTTAAAGCTTATGAATCTCATGAAAACTTGCCTTATCTTCATCTTCTCTCCTTGCATCTCAATGTCACTTCAGTTGATGGGACGACATCAATTTCACAGCAAAATCGTTGTCCGCATGTTGATGATATCTCTATTGGTAAGATCACGTTCTTCTCGCCCATTTTTATCATTCTTCGTATTGCAGGTTTATCAGTAATTCAATATCACTACGTCTGCATCAATCATTCTCAACTGTTATGTTTTCGTGATGATTTCTATTTGTGTATTTGTGATGAGAATCATACACGAGTCGAATGTTTCAACTACGATTACACATTAGATCAATGCGCACATTGTTTATCAGCTGGTCGATGTGTCCGAGGTGATCTTGGTCGATCGAATGATTTTGTGTGTTTGTGTCCGTCATGTCATTCTGGTCGATATTGTCAGTTCAACTCCAAGTCTTTTACTTTTACTCTCGATCAGCTCTTCCTTACTGATCTCACTTCGAAACACAAGTACACTGTAGTAAATGTGATTATTGTTGGTTCTATTGTCGGATTCATTCTCGGAATACCAAACAATCTCTTCTCTTTTGTCACTCTGAAACGAAGACAATGTCTTCAGACTGGTGTCGGTAACTATCTACTTTGTATGAGTGTAATCAATCAGATTACACTTGGACTCCTCGCAACACGTCTCATTCATCTGTCGATTATCATCGCTTTTTCTCGATCTTTCTCAATGATTGACAATGTTCTTTGTAAACTGTTCAGCTATTTACTCAATTGTTTCACTCGCCTTGCTTATTGGTATGGTTCATTAGTGGTATTAGAACGTGTTTATACGGTCATAACACTAAATGGTCAATGGTTCAAACAACCACACATCGCTCGTCGTCTTATGGTACTCACATTCATCCTCGTCTTCGTTTCTGATGCTTATGAACTCTTTTTTGTTCGATTGTTTGCCACAAGTGAAGATCAAGGCAGTGCCATTTGTGTGATCGAGTTTCCCATGGATCGACAATCATCGTGGGTTTCCTTGCATCAATTTGTGTCCATCATTCATTTTCTCCTACCTTTGTTGATCAATATCTGTTGTAACACCACCATCATCGTCATTGTCATCCGCAAGAAAATGAACCTTGGCATGGCTAAGAAATGTAAGAGCCCTTCTCATCCCAACCATCGTCATCTTACATCGTTCGTTCTAGATCGAGGAACAACAGCATCTGATAGCCCAAGAACAAGTAATACATGAGAAAAGCATTTCATACTTGTCGAAAAAGAACAGAGACTCAACTTCTTGTTCTCATTTTAGAGATTCGAGATGCTGGAGAAAGGCGTGATCGTCTGAATATTCTGCGTGATGTTCTCACCGAACACAAAGAGATAATTGCTCGACCAATGATCACTCTCATTCCATCATTCTTCTCTGCCTTCTCCTTACCTATCTTCATCGTGTCATTTTCCTTGGACTGTCGAAATCTTGCGACAAGTCCTCTTCGATATCTTCTGATGATATTTTATTTCATCTCCTTCATTCCCCAACTATTAACATTCTTTCTCTACATCTCACCATCGACATTTCACTCCAGAGAATGGCAATCAACAGCACTTGGAAGATGCATCGCCGTGTTTTGGCAACAATCTATGTCGACCATGACGAGTGGACCAAAAACAAAAGACTAAGTTGTCGACCTAATGAAAGGTTTTCTCTCTTTATATTCAGTCCGAGCAAATCAACTAGAAGATAAAGAACAAAGAAGGTCAAATGCTTCATTTCCTTTATTAACTTTCATTTGGACGGAACACATTCTAACTCTGGTGGTCATATTCATAAACCTGTCCAGATTTTTCTCATGTCTATAAAAATAACTCACCTGTCATGATTCGATCAGCTTGTTTTTCCAATGATTTAGTTTTCTCATTCAACACTCGGGTTAGAACTAAGAAGAGGGTGTGGGTGTGTGGATGTGGTTTAGTATTCATTAGATACCCACATCCCACACTCACTCACCCACTCTGCATATCATAAGAAAGATTGCGTGAAAGATTGACTTGTAGCAATGTTAAAATGGCCAACATGTTCTCTTCACACTAGACTGTGCCAATAGATGTCATCAAAGTCTGATAGTCAGAAGTGAGAAACAAAGAATGACAGTACGATGTAACTAATAAAACAAATACATCTCACTTCTTTTACTCGTTCTTATCGGCAATTTATTACGTTTATTTTAATCGCTTAGCAAGCATAGCTGGCTCATGTTTTATGAGACAAAGAAAAAAGAATTTCATCTAGTAACAACAACTCTCAGCAAACAGGGATCTTTTGAAGTCGTGACGACGAGATAACAAATATCATAGACTTTGTATTAAGATTAAATTCTCTGTCGACGATACTACCAACGACAACATGGTTACGAATCGTATTTTTGATTCAAAATATAGAGTTTACGGTCAGAAGAAATTTTCTTGGATAGTTATGAATAGTGTAAGTGTAGACGTTTATAATACAAATAAAAGTTTAATAGGAAGATACAAAGTGTTGATATACTGTCTGAGTCTTTTTAATACATTGTTAAATTACATTTATTGGTAGGTCATTGTATACTTCATTGGTTGTATTCTCTAGTTAAGCATGTAATATTGAATTGTGGCAATCGCCAGATTAGAATCCTGATCTAGTATTATTGACCTACTATGAAATATTGTCAAATGGAAAATTTGACAAAAGAATCTAAAAGTCACAACTTAAACTAGAGAATGCGACTGATGGAGAATACAGTGAGCTACTATCGAATGTTATTCAACAACGTATTAAAAAGACTCAGACAGTATATCAACACTTTGTATCTTCCTATTAAACTTTTATTTGTATAATAAACGTCTACACTTACACTATTCATACATATCCAAGAAAACTTCTTCTGACCGTAAACTCTATATTTTGAATCAAAAATACGATTCGTAACCATGTTGTCGTTGGTAGTATCGCCGATAGAGAATTGGGTGTGGCCTATTGGTGTGGGGCACAGGTGGACTCGGGATGTAGGTATTCATTTCGTATCCACTCACCCACACACCCACACCCAGATCATAGCAACGTAAACTCACATTACAGACTACAGTGCCGTCCCTCCTTCCCAATTACAGAGGTTTGCAACACAGGCTCCCATTGCAGGCTAAAGTGTCCTCTTCACATTACAGACCTTAGCAACTAGTGTTATATTTTACCTCCTAAGGATATGTGAGTTCTACATTTTAGCACCAAAGGGGCTGTGTTGACAAGTTTTTTTTCTTTTACTTCAAATTTATTGTGGATTTTTTTTGTGCTAGTAATTTTCATAAAAAGCATTATGTATGAATTGAGAAAAAGTGATTAAAGAATGGAAGATAAAATACAAAATGTTCGACAGGTAATTGACAGACAAATAGAGATATTAAAAACAAGATAAACTTTTCTTAAAACTATTTTAGGCCGTTGAAAAATTACAAATTTTCAGCCATGAGCCGTAAGTTTGCAAACGTTATCATCAGCCAAATAAATATATATTTCAATGTGTTTTTTTTGCTAGAGCACATCAATTAACCCAAGTATATGGTTTCATCAAATCTAGTGAAAATATACGTGATGCTACTACACCTCTTCCACAATACATACGATTAAGCCTTGATACAAAGGCTGAAACAGTAGTGAAATTCATGTACAAAGGTTGGAATTTACCAAAACCAGATATGATTATATCTGTAACTGGCGGAGCCAAAAACTATGGTATGTCAGCACAACTTAGAAAAATTTTTCAAATGCGTCTAGTTTCTACTGCTAGTAGAGCAAGTAATATATTTTTATTTTAATATAAATAATAAATACATAGTTTTAATTGATTAGATGCATGGTTGATAACAGCTGGAACAAATATTGGTGTTGCTAAAGAAGTTGGTGAAGCTGTTAATTATTGTCGTTATAATAATCGAAAACATGGACTTGATGTACCGTGTATTGGTATTGCTAGTTGGGGTTATACAGCAGGAAATAAACAACTTGATAATCAATCGACTCATTCCCTTATGAATACAAGTGATACAACAACAATACGTTCACCTTCGAAACCTTCTCAAAATCAACGAGCACAAATTGTTCCGATGGTTAGTTGTTGATGTGCTTGTTTGAAATTTAAAAAATACTATTTGATTTTTCTTTGAAATTAATTTTAGGATAACAAAGATCGATATATTCGCGAGTATATTGTTAAAGAAAACCAACCGAGAGAATGTTATTTAGAACCAAATCATACACATTTTTTATTATTTGATGATGGACAACGAAAAGCTGAGACCATTCTCCCATTGCAAGCTGAAATTGGAAAATATTCTCGAAATATTCATCTAGCCAATACGACAGACGAACCAGTAGAATCACTCATACCTATTGTCATGGTTTTAGTTGACGGTGGTAGCTCATCGATTCGAGCAATATGTGAAGCACTTAAATGCGGCACTCCAGTTGTAGTTATTAAAGTATAGAAAAAAAAATTGAATAACTGGTTTTTTTTTAATGAAGTTCGGTTTTCAAAGCATTCAGGCCGTGCTGCTGATCTTGTTGCTGAATTACATGCTTGTTATTCTGATCGTGAAATAGGTAATGATGGTGTTACTAGTGCACATCCTACAAAGTCACAAACCGATATTGTTAAAGGAGGTTCAAAAGAAAAAATGATCGAGCACATGTAAGTTTTACAAATGATGTAAAATTCTTTTTCATAATAATTGTCTTCATTGATTAGTTTAACTTCGGCTAAAGAACGAAGTGAAATTAAAAGTCTTGATGGTGTTAAAAACGATTTATGTAATACATTAGATTTGTACAAAGATCTTGTAACAATTTTTGAATTTGATGGTACAAGACATCGTGGCAATCTTGAAGATGCCTTTTTAGAATCTTTATCGAATGGTAAATGATAGTTTCTTTTTAAAGCAAAAACAAAAACATTTGTTTTTCTATTTTAACAGCTCGAAAAAGTTCTCGTGCTTCGAATGAACAATATAGTCTAGCAAAAGAACTTAAATTAGCCATAGTAATTTAGAAAAAAGACAATCAGTCAAATAAGATCATTATTCTTTTTCTTTCATTCATTTAGGCATGGCATAAATTTTATTACGCCCAGACATGTCTTCGTACTGATACGACAATATCTAAACTGAAAGTATGTTATTGTTTTTTTTTTACTGTATATATTTTTATTTTTTTTTCATTTAATAAAAGCAAGACGATCTTCGTCCTGTTCTTGTTGAAGCGCTTTATCATGGTCATACTGATTGTGTTAAATTACTTATTGAATTTGGTACATCACTTGAAAAATTGACACATGGAGATCTTGAAGAACTTTATACAAAATCGGTATATTAATTCAAACATCAGAAGAAAATTAATTTCTACAATGACTTGTTACTTTTTGTTAGACTAATCATCAATTATCATCTAAAGATATGTCCAGGAAAGATCAATATTATTTAGACTGTTTTGCTCCGATCGTGGTATGAAAGAAATCAATTCATTGATTATTATTTTCAAAGAAATATCGTTGCAGAATAGTATGAACAAAATCAACAATTTATCACAATTAAATCATAATGCCCCATTAGGTGAAACTGCTCCAGAAGATCTATTTTTATGGGCAGTTTTTTTTGATCGATTTGAACTTGCAATATATCTTTGTTCCAAAATTTGGGTAAGACTTACACAGAGTTATACTGACGTTGAAGATGATCTAATACTTTCAAATCAAATTATCATTCTCACTGCGAAACTAATGATATGAAAATATAGGATTATTGTAACGAACTTCGTATGAGATGTTCGACTAGTTAACTATTCACATCTATATTTTTTCGAATTCAGTCAGCTTTTAGAATCGTACTGAAATAGTTTCAATTTAATTTCACATGAGAATACGTAGTCAATTCTACAAAATAATATATCAATACAAGAACTGAGGAGCAAACGTTCTTAATGTGTACTTAGTGCAAAATCATCTATGTTATTACAGTTCGATTAAATATCTTTCTCATAATTTCGTTGAGAAATTATTTCATAGATTCTACTGACTTCGTGTGAGATAATATCAAAAATACTGACATTTCACAAATTTTTAGTCAATGATTATCGATTTTTCTTCAGCTCGACTTTAATAAAACTTTTCGAACAAGTTGAATTTAAACGTGTGCTAATGTAGTCGACAAATTTCAGTAAGAATCTGAAATTATACTGTGTTTTAAAAGTCAAATCATTTCGTGCGAATATAGATGTAAATAGTTCTCATATATTATCAAATCCCCCTTAAAAAAAAGTTGTGAATACATTCAAAATCGAATACATCATTCGAAGCTTACCATAAATAACTCATATTTTCTAATGTGTTGGTTTAGTAGTGAAAATTAAAGTGGAAAAAATGTTTCCATAAATGAAACTCAATTTTTGTAATCGTATATGATGAAGATAAACTTAGCAGCTGAAAATAATGATGAATTTCAATATAAGTATGAAGCCTAACAAAAATGTTGAAGTAAGGGTGAAGATGAGCGTTTAAGTGCGAGATGAGGGTGTGAAGATTGATTTGATGTGGATGAAATTGAGGGTTAGAGAACAGAGCTTTTGTTTTTATGTTTATTTTAGCCAGAGACGGACATACTGTTGTTGTTGATAATATAGCATTTATTGGAGCCAATTCTTTTTTTTTTATTTCTCTTTTTCACGTTTCCACCTATAATGAATTTGATGATTAAAACTCAGCTTTTTGATGAACGAAAAAATGCTGACCCGAAAATAATTATTTGACTTGAACATAATTAATCTTCTTTAGTATCAATAGAATAGTTTACATATTATAATTATATATTCTTGATATTAGAATATATCACTAGCACTATTATGTGGTGCATATATCTATCGACGAGCAGCAAGTAAAACAAATCATACAGATATAAAACAACGATATGAAGAACATGCTGAGTAATTTGAATATATATTTTTTATTGATCATACTATATTTATTCTTTTTTCTTTAGTCGATTTGATACTGGTGCTGCATCAATTATTAATCTATGTTTCGATGATGATGAACAGTTTGCTCTTGATCTTTTAAGACGTTCTGCTGTTGCATTTAAACATATTACTCCATTAGATTTAGTTAAGGATGCTGAGTGTAAATCATTTCTTGCATCAAAATGTGTTCAAAGACATCTTGATAATATATGGTAATAATATTTTTATTTTGTAAAGAAATTTTCTAAAAAGTTAAATCTATAGGTATGGACATATCGATTACAAACGAACAGCTATTAATTTCAAAGTAAATATTGAAAAAATAAAATGAAAGCATAAAAACAGATTTTTCTTTTCAGATATTTGTTTGTTCATTATGTTTTCCTTTACTACCAATATTTTGTTTTTGTCTGAATTATATAAAAAAACCTAAAAATGTTAGTAAAAAAAATGAAAAAGATTCGATGAATACATTGAATAGTTTTTGTTTTTAAAAGAGTGCTTTAAATACTCAAGATGATTTGACAGCCAGTCCATTGACTACAACTCATAATGTTCTTCAGTAAGAAAAATAATAATTATCTTACTACAATTTTTATTCAAATTTTATAAGATCTGTTCAATATAAAAGAAAAAATAATGTTTCATACGTAGATAGAATAATCTATTTCTATAACGCACCTATTGTACGATTTTATTATCATACGGTAAAGAACAATTCTATTATTTAAATATTTTCATATTTATTTAGTTTTTATTTCTATTTTACGTTCAGATATTCTTCATTGTATTTTTGGGTTTATTCAGTTTTGTTCTTCTTGTTGATTATTTTCCACTAAATATCTATAATGAAAGACGATCAGGTTTTAAAAATTTACAAATACCAATAACTGAAATAATTCTACACATCTGTATATGGAGTTTGATTGTTGAAGAAATTTATCAAGTAATATTGATTTATATATTATTAATAAATAGCCTGTACAACAAGGATTGTTATTGTTTTTAGGTTTTATCTGTGAAACTAATTAAACAATATTTATCAGATAAATGGAATATGATTGATATTATTGCAATTATGTTATATCTTATTGGTTTTATTACACGATTTATTGTTCTTGAAACAGTATTTGCTATATCAAAGAAAGTTTTGTTTTTCTTTATAATATATTTTCTTTTGAATTATGATATATCTATTTATTTTGAAATTATTTTTAGAATATTCATGTGTCTTGATCTGATATGCTGGTTTGTTCGTATATTACATCTATTTGCTGCTTTTCAAAAATTAGGACCGAAATTAATTATGATTTTTAATATGGTTAGTTACTGATATTTTGTTTTAATTTACTCAATATTCTAATTTGCTTTTTTATTACTAGATGAAGGATCTGTTCTTTTTTGTTTGTTTTATTCTTATATTTTTATTAGCATTTTCAATAACATCTTGGTCGTTGATAACTACAGATAATCAAGTTTCTTGGTATTATAGTAGTAATGGATCCTTGTCTAATGTGACAGTAGCAAACGGAGGAAGTGATTTATGGACATGGCACATATTACGTCATGTGGCAAATTATGGCGTTTGGAAAATTTTTGGACAAGTAGAGTCAATCAGTAAAGATAATCATAATTGATTTTTTTCCAGAATAATATTGTTTTTTTTTTCTTTTTCTAGATGGTATGGATGCATATTCTTATGTAGCTTTTATATTGGATATACTATTCGTTGTTATTGCTAATGTACTTCTTCTTAGTGTACTTGTTGCCTTATTCAAGTATTGTAGAAAAAAATTGACAAAAAAAGATCAATTGTTTTTTTTTTGCTTTTATTTGCAGTGTGACTATTCAAAATGTTGAAAAGCAATCTTATCAAATATGGGGTTATCAACGTTATTTACTTGTTGCTGAATATAGTATTAAATCTCCATTGCCGCCACCATTTAATACTTTTCATAATCTATATCGTATTGTTCAATGTTTGATTGAAAAATTACAAAAACCGAAGTCGACAAATTCAAAGAGTAGTTTTTACATAATTTATCCATAAACAATTATTTTCTTTTTCTGCATTTAATAGACAACAGCCATGCATTAGAAATGGAATCAAGAGGTTTGAATGAAAATAATAGTGAAGAAGAATTTAAAGGTAAAATTGTCTAGTATAATATAAATATGCAGAACACTTTTTCTGGTTTGTTTTTCCTAATGATAGATAACAATGAATTCCAAAGAAAAAAAGAAATAGCTGGTGACTACTGGTGGTATACGTTGAAACATGAAAAGGAAAATCAAATCGTAGATGCACTACAAAATATTGAATTAAAGTAAGATTAATATTTCGTTTCTACTTTTAGTTTATTTAAATTCGATTTTCTTTTTAAAGACCTCATGATTTACGAGAACGAATACATAATAATAATCAAATATGAGTAAATTGCACATTGTATATTTTCTCAGTTTGTTATTTTTATTTTATATAGAATTATGATCATTGATCAAAAATGACTTTCATCTGATAATTAGTACTAAGGAAAATTATTTTTGTTTGTGATCAATCAACAATACAGTCCACGAAAATTGAAACTATACTCTTTGATTTTTTTTCTTTTATATATATTTTATTCAAATGATAAGTTAATCGAGTGCAGAGGTCTTAATGGAGCGACCTGACTTGATTTTGTGATAGGTGCCCATGAACCAAATTTTGATAAAAAATATAAAATTTACACATTATGTTACATTATTTTAATAAGTTTATTATTCAAAACTAGGGTTTCAGTGTGGGTGTGGGTATGGGTGTCTCTTTAACCACACCCACACCCACACCCTTTGTTTCCAAAGGTGAATACATTACTTATTGAAAGCTATGAGACTAAAGAATGTCTTGCGAATCTGATCGATCATGTCAGTTCAATGTTACTGCGTGTTCCGTGGTCATAACTGACGACGATCTTGATGGGTAGCAATTCTTTAGTGACAGACGAGCAATTAGAAGCGATGATTCGATTGACTAATCATCTTCATACTTTGGAATTGCACGATGACACGGGTATTCTACTATGCCGTATACTCCATAAAAACCCGCATTTATACGCATTACTCAATAGGCAGATAAAGATTCTCGACTTTCGGTTGTAATTTTTGAAGCAACATATTCAAATGTTCGATTTCTGGCAAATAGATACGCGCATTGTACGACATTTTTGCGAGTTACTCGTTAGGCGATTATCGGATTTTCAGCTAGTGTCATTTACAGTCGACGATGGACAGAGATCGCAACGATCAGACTCTGAAAATAGTGGTAGCAAATGTTCACGATGTTTTGGCAATGTTTTTCATTTTCTTACCGATCATTTGCGACAACTCGTCTGGCTTCGTATCAAATTTTGGAAAATAAAACAGCCTGTCACATCTTATTTTCTATGCGAAATTCGTCGATAACTACACGAACAGCTTATTGTACATTATTTTCACATCGAATTTACAAATAAAAGCGAAATTATTCAATTCGATTCACACAGAATCAGCTATTTCAAGACTGAATACCATGATTTTTAGTTTAGCTATAATTTTATTTTTTTAATATAGAAGACTGGTATTTTTCTCCATTTATTATCATCAGAATAGAAGTAGTAGTTTTTCACAGGTAATCCCACCGTTTCTGTTTGACGAACCGTAAATAGCTTCTATGAACTAGACTTTATGGTTATCGAGTTAATATTAAAATGATATTTGCCTTCGTGAAACTGTTGAACTAGTAATGAATTGATTTAGTGAATATTTTATATAGTGATTTACATATGGAGACAATTAGAGCGAGATATTGAAATCAAAACCGGTTACAGTGCTCTCCCACAACCATATCATACAAACCAATATTACTCATCAGGCTAACAATACTATACGGTATGATATTGAGGAGAATTGATATATTTAGTGTCTTCATCATTGAAACAACTATAAAAGTGATGTTGAATGCAAGATATCATAATATGAATCTATTTTTAATGTTTCAAAACCAAGATTTTTGGTATTGATAAATGCCTAGAACTGATCAATATGCATCCGATGTGACATTTTTTTCCTTCGGATAACGAATTGAACGAGTGATGCAGCGAGAATATTGTAAATGATTTAACGAAGTTTTACGCATTCTTATAATCAAAAGAGGTAAGACCTTTTCTTCGTTAAATCGTCAATTAATTTTGATATTGAACAGTTCTATTATGATGAACTGTTTAGATCAAACAGTTCTTAGTACTTTTTTCGATATCGAATAATAAAATAGCAACTACATTCATTGCCATATTTCTATTGCTGTACTAATAAGTTTCCTTTGAGTAACTTGAGATACTATATAATAACCATTCCATTACCATAGAAAGTAACAAATAGAATCTTTGTCTACGAGGACGACGATGTAAATAGTATTCTTAATGACGCATCATTTAACGGCATACGAAAACTCGTCGTAGCAAATAAAAACATTGACGTTTGAAGCTGGGCGAGGTGAAAATGTAAAGAAAGATTGTCAATGAACAATAGACAGCAAGTAACATTTGACAGAACCAACTGATAAAAGATTCGATAGATAGACGATCAGAACTTTTTGATAAATCATTTATTGTCGCCAGAAAGTAAAATGTGTAGATTGTATTCGGTAGATTAAGAACGATATAGCCAAGCCCTTGAATCAAGATTAATCGAATCATTGGAATCTCTTTTCGCACTCTGTGTTGCTGTTGTCGAAGTCTAAAGGTTGTACTTGTGTTTAGCGAGCCGAAAGGACCAACACACGAGACAACTTGTCGTACATTCTTGATAGTGATATAGCTGCATATTCCAATGATAGTTACAGGCAAAATAATAGGAACCATCAGATTGTAGATGGATACAAATGTTGTGTAAGGTCCCGGCAGTGGTAAACAACCCATTCCATTTCGTACATCGTAAAAAATGGGTGAATGAACTATGATAACTGTCGACAATATTAGACTAACGATCGTCACCCAACTAACATTTTTCATAGAATGCATGCGTCGACGTCCATCTTCGAATAAAATCACCGTGAATTGGTTGATTGAAATTACGCAAAGAAAATGTTGAAGAAAGACAAGATTGAGAGAGATCAGATACTGGCGAATTTTGCAAATGATACGATTCGTTTGAATCGTGACCACAAAATGCAAAGCACTTCCAGAATTTCTCAATCGACCAATAAAAACAAAGAAATTCAAGATGTTTCCCAATATTCCGATGATGAGACAAAGAGGAGTGAGTGATAAAGAAACTATGCGTTGAACTAATTCAATTGATGGTACGGTCATCTCTACAAATAAAACGCAATATAAAGACAACGACTATTTTAAAAAAATATCTAGAGCTTTTCCCGAACGCTAAATGTAACCTTGAGGGACAATAAAGCTCATGCGACATGAGTAATATAATTCATCAAAAAGAAATGAAGAGAACAATACATTTCTTACTCTTTCTGCATCATAACAACTGTTGAGCGAGATTTATAGTGAATGAGAGATCGTCATAAAATGTACTCAATGTTAATGTCAGTTACTATCTCATCTCTTATTGATATGAAATTCTATTTATATGCTAAAGAATTGACAATATATAGTTCTACTAAACTGTACTTGTCTTAGTCCTACATATTTTACTCTTGCATAAACAGTATCAACAAGAACTTATTCAAAATAAATAAAATTAACACTCAATTGGAATGTTAATTTATCTTTACTTTTTCCTTAAAGTCAAGAAAAAGATAGATAAAATCTTTATATTTGAAAATTAAAGAAAATAAAGTTAGAATAAAGAAAAGGAAAAATTTGCTTCATACGTCATCATGCATTGAAAAGTAGGTTGAAATGGTGTAGCATTATTAATTGAAGAAAATAGAGTGAAAGTATGACGATGGTTCTGTTAACTTTTCTCAAGCAGGGAAAGCTATCTTACAACCTTTACTAAACCTTATCGGGATCAAAGAATACGAATCTATAGACGATTTCTCAAAATTGTCAAGTTGGATTCTTCAGTCAGTGGAAGCCTTTTGCGAGAAAATAACTCAATTTTCTAATATTTAACGAAACTATGTGAAATAGAATCTTCCCTGAGTGAAGAATCCAACTCGACAATTTTGAGAAATCGCCTATAGATTCACATTCTTTGATCCCGACATGGTTTAGTAAAAGTTGTAAGACAACTTTTCCTATCTGAGAAAAGTTAAGAGAACTATCGTCATATTTTCATTCTATTTTCTTCAATTAATAATGCTACACCATTTCAATCTACCTTCCAATCCATATTGACGTATGAAACAAATCTTTGTTTTTCTTTACTCTAACTTTTTTTTCTGAAAAGAATCTCTTTATTTATCTTTAGAAAATAAAGACAAAACAAATTATTTTCTTTAATTTTCCAATATAAAGATTTTATTTCTTATTATTTTGTAAAGTATGACTAGGGATGTTAATTTAGCTTTACTTTGAAAAAAAGATATAAAGAACAGTAAGGAAAATTTATTTTTTATACTTTCATGCTCTAATCTTGACTATCAAAATTCGAAAGAATAATCTAGTTTGCCTTTTTTTAAAAATAGCCAAATTTTATAATTTGGTTTCCTTTGTCTTTGTTTTTCAAAGATAAACTTTTCTTTTATCTCAATCTTTATTTCAAAGAAAAGCTAAAGCTAAATTTGCACTCCTGTTTCCTATCTTTTACCGTATAAAAAAACTTTTCATAATACATTGCAATAGAAAGATGCCTTAACACTAATTACGATTGAATGATAACTCTTTAGTTAATCTTTGTCAGAAACGTCTTCTTCACTCCTTTCTATTTCTTGCTCGTAAATTAATTTGCCGCTAGTGAGCTGCGTTGAGTGGTTTTTTCCACTGTCGGCTAATTTGAACAGATATTAAAAAGAAATTCGCACCACGGTTGCCACCTCTTCTGCTTTTTCTATTTTTTTTCTACTTTTCTTCAGATATTCTGTCTTTTATATTTTTAACTAAGATTTTTGATCCTAATGGATAATTATTTAAAAAATATCTGGAAAATTCTTGTTATTATTCACTGATATTTTTTTTGTCACCATTCTATATTATCCCCTCGACTGAAGGGAGCGTCATACGGAAAAAAAAGAGTTTGTCTGTGGGTGTGTGGCAGGTCAAAAGTCAAAGGTCAAAAAACTATCAGTGGCGAACTTCATTTAGGTGTAACTTTTAAAGTTTCACCAAAGGTAATCGAGGTCAGGAAATCGGGACTTTAGGTCTGGTTTTATATTCGACCTTCCCATTGGCTAAGAAGCCGACCAATCAGAAATGAGCTTTTTTATTTTAAGCTTTTTGAGACTTTTGATGAAACTTTACTATAGGTTATCGATGGCCAGGATTCCGGATCTGAGGCCGGATTTTACATGTTAAGAAGGCTGACGAAAGTAAATCGGGATTGGGGAGTCCGAATCTGTAGTCGGTTTTTTTGAAAATTTCGAAGCTGACTTTTTTCGGTCAGCAGTTGCACTTTTTGTGAAAATAATGAGTTTTTCATGAGGCTTAACCAAGGGTAACCGGGATTGGAAAAGTTGAATTTGAAGTCAATTCTTCAAAATTTCGAGTTTGATTTTTTCGGTCACAGAGAGAGTTTTTCGAGGAAATAACGATGTTTTAGAAAAGTTGACAAATCTAAATCGGCGTCAGGACATCCAAATCTTTACTATATTGCTGGAAGTTTGCTGCTATTATTTTTCAATCAGGGTAAGGTTTTTTAAGGAAACAATGAGTTTCCAGTGTATTGAACATTGAGTGATATGAAATAAAATTTGCTTGTGATATCGTAGTGATTGGAAGAGTAATGTATTGAGATGCTTTAGCGGAATTACAAAGTCGACTATCTCACTAGCGTAAACTATATCTGAGATTTTTCCACAGTGTTGGCATGGGGTATAGGTGTGAGATAGAACAAGAGGGTGTGGGTGTGGGACTAGCTCTCCACTTAAGCCACATCCACACCCACATCAACAATCAAAATATTTTGTCTACTTTGCTGATGTAAGCAAGGTATATGTTTAAACTTCGTTTTCGTCAACAAAATATATCACAGTGTACGAAAATCAAATCTTTTACAATCTAAAAGAATACAATATAATGCTTGTATTTTTTTTCCAGAATTCAAAATGTAAAATTAATACTGAGCATAGAAGATTTGTCCACCATTACTATTTCTCATGTACTAATTTGGACTGTGGGTGTTGACATGAGTTCAAAGAAGGGTCACACACACACATCTACATTCCGAATGTGACTTTGTGTTGTCGCCTTCTTCTGTTAAATAATTAATAACATTGAATGAGTATGAAGTCAACGATGATCGTCAAGCGAATTTTTTTTTGTATTTTGAACCTGATGTCTTTCTTTGTTTCTGTATTACATTAACAAAAATTTTCAGAAAACTTCCACTATGACACTTTTGAATCTGTCCACATGAATAATAGTCTTTGATGATTTGTCTTCAATAAATCAACTAGCGTCAGATAACTTGTGATTCATCTATCTGAAACAAATTCATGTTCCATCACTAGTAGTGTTAAAATGCAGTTGACACGATCCAACAAAATTAAAATCAATGAAATATGATTAGATTAAACGGTTTCCAAAAGTAGCTAAAATTTTTTTTTAGAAAGAGATTTAAAAAGAACTTTGAATAAATTAATAGAAAGGATTGAGCTTGGTACAAATAATAATAGCAATTATCCTGAATATGTGATAAAATAAAATTAAAAATATCTTCTTGTCTTTATATTTTTATTTAGTATTGTCAGAACTTTTGGTTAACCCTAAGTAATCAATACTTATCATCCATTAAAACAAAGTCAATCAGTTTTTAGAATAATACAAAATTAATATATGAGGAAAAAGAACAAAATAATCTTATGTTTTTTATTATCAAATTCATATGTAATAATTTATCGTTCATGTTTATGCGATTTAAAATCATCATATCAATATGAATCTTTTATGTCCTTGTATTCCAACCATTCTAGAGGATAGTCGATCATCTAATGTACGTATGTGTATCATATTGATGATAAACTAGGTCATCCATCAGGATGTTAGTGTGAGCGTCGAAATGAAAAGTACATAACCACACTTATATTCTAGTCATACTTACGTTATTTTGGTCGAAAAAAATAGCATTTTAGTTAATCAACACTGTAAATTTTTGCCTTTGAGATCAATTTATAAAATTTTATAAATTTCTGATGTATTAACAAAAAATTCAGAATGATACTGCAAAGACAAGCACGAATCTTTGGGAAACAATTGAATACAAGAACCATTAATGTAAAGTTCTAGATAAAAAAAATCCAGTTAAGTTGTTGACACTTTCTTCATTAGGGTGGGTGAGGGTGTGGGAGCGAGAGAATACTAGAATTACACCCACGCCCACCCACATCCTGAATCGAACTTTTATCGTTAGATTGGTGATCAACAATATTAACTTTTTTCTTCACCTGTTCCTTCTGATTGTTATCTTATCATTACTAATTTTTTTCTGTTGTTATCTAAGTATTTTTTGTTATCGTGCTAGATCTCAGTATGCGCCTAGCTTCACTTCATTCCTATCTCTGGTTCTTGTGACTTTCTATTGGTACAAACTATTCATACTAGCTAGATATGCCATTTCTTTGGCTATGGTTTTTTTTCTTTTCATTCCTTTCATGACTCATGTTTATCATACTAGAGTAACAAGTTGATTTTCCTGTTATTGCAACATTTTTTTCTCGGTTCATCTTACTGTCCTATTAACTATTCATTATCATCTAGTTCTTCAAGTTGTATTTCTTCCTTTTTTTCTCTTTCTTGAATCAATATATATCCGACAACCGTTATTCAATGTAACGAACAAAGTTTCATAAGTGAGTATTTTTCTTTTCAAGCACATACTGAGAATGATCAAAAAGTGACCTATGAGTCTATGTGACATTCTTGAGTAAATGTGTAGGTTGAGTCTCGCCCAAATGTCATACATATCACATGATTTACTTATCAATTCTTTCGTTCTTCTATGCCTCTCATTATTTTCTTTTTCTATTCTTTTTTTCTTTCTTGCACCTACTGTTTACAGGAGAGGAAGAAAACATAGATTAAAGAGAGAATCAACAGTCACCATATATTTTTCGGTACAAACTAATAAAGACATAGATAATATCAACTGATTCAATTTTCTGCATCTTTTTTGCTGAGGTATTATATCTTTAGTCGATTTTCTCAGCAGATTTTGATATTTAACACGAAAACATTGATTGAAGCTTTTCAACCGTGAGTAATTCTCGATATTAGTAGTAGTTGGTATAAAAGAGGTAGTTCTGTAGACATGTTGATGTTCAAAAAAAATGAAATCATTCTGATTTAGGATTGGATGATATAAAGGACAAGAGCACTCGTAACCGCCAATAAATACACTTTTTGTCTCGACTTGTGACTTAACATTTACCAGTATCCGTGTTCACGTGATATATCAGCTAAATTTTCAGTTTAGCAAGAAACAGCTACTACTGGAGTGTCTACTTCCACGGATATTATATCATTCTTCACTTACAAAAACGTTTTCGTTCACATCGGATAGCATTATGCAGTACTTTGTTTTCAATTCAAACTGTGTTATTGAATGAGTTGCTAGTCGAATGTTTTATATGTCATTCTCTTGAGAACGATAGAAAATGTATCTCTTGTGCTAAAAACCATACTTTTCCTTTCATCCATCATCATTCTTAGCACTAGAAGAATGAATTCTCCACCATCGTCTATATGGACAGATATTTTCTTGTAGGAAAAATATTTTATCCAAGTAGACATTTATATATATTGAATGTACAGTTTAAATTACAAATACAACGAAAAACTTCAATCGTAGAAATGGAAAAATATCCAAAAGTTTAAGAAAGATGTGTCTCTGCGATGGGTGTATGTATATTTTCGATTTTAATGCTTTTGTTAATACGAATAAAATGAATAAACAGTATCAGCAGAACATTGACCCTAGTACTTATGATACTGCTTTAGTTTTATCACATTTTACAACAAAGTGCGACATGCGAATTATATCATCAATTAATATCAAGAGTATGATTTAAGTAAATTAAATAACATCCAATCTTCTTATACTCAATCTCGCTTCCAAGTTTATATATATCTTCCTATCTAATATCGCAATTATTGAGTTTTCGTTATTTGCGTATAATCATCTACGTGTTTTACTCAATTTTCTCTTTTATTGATATATTTGACTGATCAATGAGCAAAAGAAAGAGAAAAGATTCTAAACATGCGAGGCACACATACTCTTGTTCATCTCAACTGATAATAATTTTATATTAAGTGTGAAACAAGATGATTTGTCTTCTTGTCGTATTTAGCTTTAGAGTAATTAACTTCTGTTTAGCTTCTATGTAGAGTTCTGCCAAACAAACTATTTTCGTGTCCCAAATGTCGCACGAGACGAGAAAAATGGAATTTTTCTGGATTCAGGACTATCCGACAGAATTCTACCATTATCTATTTGCCTAATTTGTTTTTATTATTTTTCTTAATTTAATGATTCTCTCAATGTTGTCTTTGTCATTTTTTATTCTTTTTCTTTTTTTTTCAAAAACATGATCTAACGGATTGTTGAAGTGTACAAGGATTGAAACATGTACCTTATAAGTTAATTGAAAAATTATTGTGAAGCACGATTAAATTTAAGATACTTGTCTTTCGTTCTCATTACATATTCACTGTAATAATACATAGTAAGTCAAAAACCTATACATATATTGCTGAATCTATTCATTTACAATATAAGAACTCTTCATAGTATTTCACATTTTAATACCTCAAGGATCATGCTACTTGAATAATTCGAGCATTCGTACTGTTGAGAAGGGCAAACATCTATTTAAGGTTATTATATTCGATCACGAAAGTCAACCAAGTCAAATGAGAGAAAAAATCTAATCACTAGTGAGATAGCCTACCAATTTTCTGTAGTAAACAACATGTTAGTAATTCCACATTATCTCAGATCGACTACAATAAGTCTGTTGTATCATTAGAATTCTGAACATTGTTTACTATTACAGATAAAGGTCGACGACGATGACATCGAACGCAAAAAATGATATTGAGATCGATGATCTAACTTGTCCGATTACACTTCAAATCTTTCATGATCCTGTAATCGCCGCTGATGGTCGTACATATGAGCGTGCAGCAATTGTACAATGGATCACGGAACACGGTACCAGTCCATTCACACGAGAGCCGCTCAATATTAAAGAATTACAAGCTGACGATTATTTGAGAAATTTGGCCGCTCAACAGCGAAGGTCAATGATGTCCTACAACAACAACAGAAATTTTAATAATGCAATTGTTCAACAGCAAAGTTCGACGGTATCATACAACAATAATATAAATGTTGATTCAGCAATTCTTACGCAAATACAAAATATGCCTAGCAGTAGCGTAACTTTAATACAAAATGCTGGAAATCGCTCTGCGTCTTGCAATGATTGCTGTCACAAACCCCAGTTTTGGATTGCAATTGGGATTATATTTATGGTGTCATATGTCTTCTTGATCTGGGAAGGCAACGTTCGCGACAGAAGTCCCGCTTATTCGAGTAAGTTCTCGATGAATACATGATCTATTCTCGTACATGTACTACTTTTGATTCTAAAAATTTGAACTTTTTCATGATCGCATCAGTATGCTACTAAATCTATACTGAAGTAGGACCTGGAAGCTGAATGAGTATATCTTTGGTGTTGTTAGACCAAAATCATCGTTCAATAAGTTAACTCATGAAAATTTTCTCTCTTAATGGCTTAGCGACAAATTAAAAAACTGGCAAAGAGAAATATTTGTGCACTTTCACTGTGTGCTCAGTTATACATGATGCTATAGATATTCTTCATGAAAATATAAATATTATCTTGAGTCCTACAATCATTGAGATATACACACTGAAAACATGATTTAGTTACTTACTATCTATAAGGCACAATATTTAAACTTTCTTTGAATAGATGAAAACAGTCCATTTTTAAAAAGTTTATCAGCACAAACTTTCTACGGAGATGAACATTGAAAGCTCTTTACTTTCAACAACTACTAGTGCAGTACCAGCGCAATCGTTGTAAAACACTAGATTTGCTCTTCCACTATTTGTAATTTTTTTCGTCTGCAAATAAAATTTCGTTTTCTGATTTCTCAATTGAGGAAAAATGATTTTGTGACTTTAAGTACTTCAAATAAACTACAAGAATATTGAACAAATACATGCTATTAGTACTGGCACCAACGGAATTATTCGTTCTATTTTTTAGCAATACTGTTGTGCCATTCAATAGAGGATAGTTTTTTGGGAAAGAGTTCTCTTGATCACAATATCTATGACATTGAAATAATCTGTCTTATAACTTTTGTCGGACAAACGTGAGCATTCGGTGAGAGTTGTGTTATCAATATTCATCTTGAACTTTAAATCTGCCAAGAGAAATTATCGTTTTTGATCCTTTTTTAGATGAATTGATCACTATGTTACTCTCTTATTTGAGTATCGAAATAAAAAGAGTCTGTTCAAAATATTTTAATAAATATTTTTGTTTTTCTTTTAAAACATAGTGACAAGCACTACAATTGCCACCATGACTACTACAATTCGTAAGTTATATTATATCAATTCGATATTATTGTTCTTATTTTCATTATTGCTTTAACAAATATGTTTAAGTATGATAATAATTTCTTTTCGTTACTAAGAAAACAGATCTAAAAACAATTTAGAATTCGGAAAAAATCAAAAAAATTTGTTTTTGATAAAACTATAACGAGTATTCATCATTTTAATGAAACTACTTAATGTATTAAGATGATATTGTATCACAAGTATCAAACATGGCTGATGAATGATAGTTTATGCTTAATTGAAAAAAGGATTGACTTTTATTAAAAAAAAGTTATACAATTAAAAGAGCAGCTCAGAGACAAATCCTAATTAATGTATTATAGAGATCGTTTTTCAACCTCTATCATGAAAAACTTAAAGTGCATACGACTTTAAGCATCTTGATATTTCATTTCATCATTTTTTTCTTCTTTCAAACATCCTATATCATACGAAAATGAGCTGAATGTCGCTGGAAGAATCGTACGGTTTTCTTTTCAAATTCTAACACTAAACTAGAACATAGAAATCTCCTTAGAACTTCATGTTAAGCAGTTTTCTCTTCCTCGACATCGAAAGCATTTCCTTACGATGTGCTTTTTTTTAAAGACTACGTTACAGAAACACTGTCTCATTTATAGTACTTTCTCGTGTATGAGAGACAAAAATCTCTTCGATAATCACGAGCTCTTTTCTGTTTCGTTCATTGTAGTAATTCCTAATATTCCAGAGAAGTTGTCCTGGGTACTGATTAGGATCGACATTTGTGTACTAAACAGAGATGAGCAACTACACTCTGTCTTCCTCCAACTCCATATAACTCCAGTCCTATTTTCTAAAATCTTACTCCAACTCCAATTTAACTTCAATTCGAGTCGGATTTTACAAAACTGAACTTCTGCCAAAACACTCTTAAATACACATAAGTTTTTGAACATAATTAAATCTACGATTGATATAAATTAGTAGCATATTAATTTATTGCTTTATAAACGTTTTCATAAAATTCAGAGATAGGCACCTCTATTCTGCCCCGTTCCTACTCCATATAACTCCGCTCTCACGCTGATGAGAAAAAGCATCAACTTTGGAGTTGGAATAGCCCATCTCTGATATCAACCATTTCAAAATACTTACTCTTCAGAGCCTCCTGAACATATTCATAACATGCGAGCTTACAGAAGACTTCTCAGAACAAGTACTACATAAGGATTATAGAATGATCCTCATAGAAGATACTCATTATTTTTAGATTTTCAGATTTTGACAGAGTATCTTATTTAGTCACTAAGATTCTCTTCGAGAACCCTTATACAATGGTTTGAAGATGGTGTTCATCAAAAGTTTAAAATAGCATTTTAGAACACTTTCTTTTCAAAGCCCATAAAATCCATAGATCCCAATGTTTGTCACTGGAGAGTTGTGTTAGGATTGACATCCATCTTTTCAACATTTGCAAAAGTAGAAGCCCTCTCAGATTACATAGATTCGCGTGGAATTCTCTCAACTTTGTTCAATTTCTCCTGTATCCAAGCCTTCTCATGATCTTACTCAGAGTACATCACGGTTGTTCTTCGGACAGCTTGACATAACTGATCAAAAGCCTTACAAAATTTCATCGGCATTCTCTATGCAAATACTTAGGAGATTCTTCGGCAGATCTACATTCATCATACAGAAAATCACGTATCCTTATGGTTTCCTAAAAAACATAGGGATTAGGTTTGATATTTTGTTGTTCAACGATTCGATATTCTTCTCACAAGATACAGATAGAATCTTCTCTGATGTTCATATAAATGATCATTCTACCAAAAAGATTCTGAATTCTTGCAATTCTGAAAAAATCCTCAGATCCTTATGTTTTTCTATCAAAAACTTACATGGAATTAGCATTACTCTTTCTTGGAGAACCTCCTTACAACAATCTCAAGGTGTTATTTTTATGATCAAAAAGATCTTGGCAAACACCAGAAGTAACATAGATGTAAGGATGATTACCAAATCCTTTTTTCTCATAAGAAACTAGGAAAAGATTTCTGAATTTTTATCTGCGAAACGAGCATTTTCAAAGACGAATGTCATATTTTGTAGCGCTTGCTCTCTCGAGAGACGGAATCCCTTCGACAACCACGATTTATTTTCTTTTTTGTTCATTGTAGTAATTCTCAATATTCCAGTCGATGCCCAATGGACCCAGAATGGAGTGACTGTTGCTGGAGGCCATGGACGAGGCAGTGCCACCAATCAACTCGCGAGCCCTTCTGGTCTCTTCGTTGATGATGATCAAACGATGGTCATTGCTGACTGCTGGAATCATCGTATCATCCAATGGAAGAAGGGTGATACGAATGGACAAGTAGTAGCTGGTGGCAATGGCTACGGAAATCGATTGGATCATTTGATTGGTCCAACCGATGTATTGATTGACAAAGAGACGGATAGTCTCATTATTTGTGATCGATTGAATCGACGAGTCGTACGATGGTCTCGTCGTAGTGGTACAACTCAAGGAGAAATTCTCATCGACAACATCTGGTGTTATGGATTAGCCATGGATGATCAGAGATATCTCTACATCTCTGACACCGACAAACATGAAGTAAAACGATATCAAATAGGAGAGAAGAATGGAGCTATCGTAGCTGGTGGTAATGGCGAAGGTGATGATCTCAATCAACTCAACTGGCCGACCTACATCTTTGTCGATCAACAAAAGACTGTCTACGTGTCAGACCGCTACAATCATCGTGTAATGAAATGGAATAAAGATGCAAAAGAAGGAATTGTTGTCGCTGGAGGTCAAGGCAAAGGGAATGCTCTGACACAATTATCGTATCCTCAAGGACTGTTCGTCGATACATTGGGAACCATCTATGTGGCAGACTCGTCGAATCATCGAGTGATGCGTTGGCCTAAAGGAGCGAAACAAGGCTTTGTTATTGTGGGTGGAAATGGTTACGGAGAAGGAGCAAATCAGTTCAAGTCTCCCGAGGATTTGTCCTTCGATCAACAAGGCAATCTCTATGTCGTCGATTATGGGAATTCTCGTGTTCAACGCTTTTCAATCGAATAGACTCGTCGTGATAGATTTTTTTTACGCTCCTTTCGTTTCAAATAAATCACGTTGAATTGATGAAATGAATGTCTATTCTATTCGCGCGCGCGACCAGGAACCATCCTGGTGGAGCCGTGGCGAGCGTAACGCTCATGCACGCGCAGGACAGACTCATATCATTCATACCCTCTCCGCGAGAGATATGTCAATGAGTCTGAATAAGCCTGGTCGTGTGCCACGGACACCAAGACGATTCCTGGCCGGGCTTTTAGGGACTACCCGGAAGTCCTTCATAAAAGGCGAAACTCTAACCCTCAACTGGCAGAACTCACCCTCGCCTCTCACTAACACTCACTTTTCTGAGTCTCATTCTCACCCTTCTCAATCTCAATGTCACTATCTAACCTCATCCCTCTCTCACTCCTATTCTCTTTCTCAAAAGAAAAAAAGAAATAATTACTCACGTGTTCGAATGTTAGACGATGATAAAGAAGACGCGATCATGTTGAAGACTGAAAAGAAAAAGAAAAAGAAAAAAAAATTAATTAATGTTATATTATGAGAAAATATTAGTTAACTTACTCCCTGTTATCTTTTCCTAGTTGATAATAATCAGAGAACCTAAAACAAAAGACAACAAAATAAAAGATGAAAAAAAATGACTTACCATCTTTAATTTCTTCATATTGATCTAAAAGAAAAAAAAATTAAAAAAAAAACAATTTTTACTTACTTTCAATATTTAATGGCTAGAATAGAAAAAAAAAAGCTTAAAATAGATCGGAAGAGGACTTACTACCCTCCATGTGATCCAAAAGAAAAAAACTAAAACTGATACCTACATTTTATTTTATGGCTTTGTTCGACGTTGAATTGTTCCATATTATAGTGTTGATATTGACCTAAAACATAAAAGAAAAGAATTAGTTTATAATTCAATAAATTGAATGATTTCACATAGAGAATCATTCATATTTATACTCCAAAAAAGTTATGGGGAGAGAAAATCATTCAATTTTTTTTAATGGATGTATGATTAAAAGATGAATTTCATTAAGCTTTAATCGGGACACACAGATACATTGAGATAAAATTCAATTACAACTATCTTAATGTATGGGTGTGGATAAAGCTTAATTGATATACATATTAATTATGCTATGTTATCATTGATCATCAATGATAACATGAACGACGACTTATGGACGAGAGAAGACAAAAAAGAAAATTATTCTCTTGACCTTTTTCTTTTTCTCTCACTTTTACATTTTCAATATGTGTACAGAATAGACGAACACGCCCGCACACTCACATGTAAGGTATGTTGTCATTTGTTATGTTGTTTTTCTTTTAGAGTCTATTGAGTTACTTGTGAAAATATTTTGTTGTTAATAGTCTCGAACAATGTTATTATGGCAAAAATTAGATTTGTAGAAAAGATCATGAAATGATCTAATCTCAAAGATTCGATATTTTTCAAAGATTTTACTCGTCATACACTTAAGAAAAAAATCTATATATACTTCTTCGACAAACATTGTTTGATTGTTCGATACAATAGCAAAGTCTGAATACAAACTCGCTTCTCAACAATCAAACAATAGTTTTCAAAAAGAATACGTAATTTTTTTTCTTATTTAGCAGTCGAATAAAATCATAAAAAAAATTATCGAGCTTAACGAGATTGAATGCCTGCGGCCTTTTCAGTTTTCATAGACAATTATAGAATTCTTCTCGCACTAAACTATTGGGCACTGTTATTGAATTTTAATTGCAACAGGGATGAACTAGTTTAATTTCCTTGCGTTACATTAACTCATTTATACACAGCGTTACTTTCATTTTCGGATGAACTACTTTTTTAATTCGAATATTGTTTTTCATATAACTTTTATTTTTTTCTAATAGATTTTAGAAAATTTTATGCTAAAACAATGGAAGCGATTTATATGTTACATGAAAAAGAAATGGATGCTCACTTTTATGTTTATCTTAGAGTAATTTCATTTTATTGAATAGATAATGTAAAAAATAAAAAATTATTTCGAATGGATTCATAAACATAAAGCTCAATTACGTAGACAACATTAGCTGCATTTAATGATGCGACCTATTAAATGTTTACTTAAATATACATCAACAGCATATATTGATTATCAATTATTAATTGATTTATTGGATTAATAGTATTGAGAATTGTCTAGTAAGAAAGTGATTCCGACAGTATTAAGTACGTTTTGTTGTTATTGTTAAATTTTTGGTCAGAGTTCCTTGTTATACATCGTGATTATATAGAAAAATTTCAAGTTATTGAACTTTCACAAGAATTAGCAACAGCACGAACACATTTAATCGTTTCTTTTCTTCAATTGTCTTGAATATATGTTAAGAACACCTAGTATGAAAACATTTTACTTATTCAATTAAGGAATAT